CTTTGTAAAATCTTCACAACTTTTCTGTAAATCTGAAGTGTTATTCCCCCCAAAAAAATTATACCACTGTCATAAACTGAAAATAACCAATTAGATAAGTAATAAGAAAAAACACCTAAAGTCAAATAGGACTTTTGTAGGAAAAAAAGCTACAATCTTCTGTTGATGGCTGTAGAAGACATGTGTAAATGGGTGGGTGGCATAGACCATTGTGAAGGGGGGAGGCCTTCATATAATATTTTCAGTTTTCTCTAGATTGCTTTATAGATTTAATAAAATATCAGTTGTAATCCCAGTAGGATAGTTCATCAAGCTTGACAAACTAATTCTAAAAGTAGTTTTAAGATAAAAGGCCAAAGACATTTTTGAAAAGATGGGGCAATTGCCCTTTCAAGATACTAAGATAATGTAAACCTATGATAATGAGTATGGTTTGCTAATGCACAGAGATAGACATGGGCCAGTGGGCCAGATGAGAGTTTTGGAACAGGTCTACTCATATACAGAAACGTGTCAGGAGAAAATTAGATCCCTACCAGAGAACACATACAAAAGTAAAAACAAAAAATGAACATAAGGCTATTAGAATATCTTTATGACTTCAGTGTAGGGAGGGATTTCTTGTTCTTTTTTTTAAAAAAATTTTTTTTTCTTTATTGATATTAGAGAGAGGAAGGGAAAGGGAGAGATAGAAACATCGATGGGAGAGAACACTGACTGGCCGCCTCCTGCATGCTCTCCACCCGGGGATCAGGCCCACAACCTGGGCATGTGCCCTGACCAGGAATCGAACTGGTGACCTCTTGGTGCTAGGGTTGATGATCAACCACTGAGCCACACCAGCTGGGCAGGAGGGGATTTCTTTTTTTTTTTTTAATCCTCACCCAAGGACATTTTTGCATTTAGCTTCAGATAGAGTGGGAGGGAGAGAGGGAGAAAAAGAGAGAGAGAAACATCAGTGCGAGAGAGACACATTGACTGGTTGCCACCCGCACAACCCCAACTGGAGCAGGGGACTAACTGCAAAGAGGTATGTGTCCTTAGCGGGAACCAAACCCGGGACTCTCTCGTTCCTAGGCCAATTCTCTAATCACTAAGCCAAACCGGCCAGGGTGGGAGGGATTTCTTAAGGTATGAAAAGGTTGTTAAATTTTACAGCACCAGCCCTGGCAGGTTTGGCTCAGCGGTTGGAGCATTGGCCTGCGGTCTAGAGAGACCCGGGTTTGGTTCCCACTAGGGGCACGTACCTCAGTTGCAGTTTGTCCTGGGCCCCTCCGTTGGTCGTGCAGGTGGCAGCCACTCGATGTGTCCCTTTCACATTGATGTTTCTCTCTCTCTCTCTTTCTCTCTCTCCCTCCCACTCTGTCTGAACAAAAAATGGGGAAAAATGTCCTTGGGTGAAGATTAAAAAAAAAATTTTTTTTACAGCACCAGCTGGTCATTGTGGCTCAGTGGATTGAGCATTGCCCCATGGACTGAGAGATCCCAGTTTGATTTCTGGTCAGGGCACATGCTGGGGTTTCGGGATCCCCAGTAGGGGGCCTGAAAGAGGCAGCTGATTGATGTGTCTCTCTCACATCGATGTTTCTCTCTCTTCCTTCCTCTCTGTCTAAAAAGTAAATAAATAAAAACATATTTCAAAAAAATATACAGCACCAATATTGAACAGTCTTCCATGACAAACAGTATTGATGGCTTTTCTTCTAACCTTGTTTATGGTATAGATTTTGGACTTATATTTAATATGTGTGTCTGGGGTAGGGGAAGGAGGTAATTCAAGCTGGAACATGACATTTTATTTGCCTTTAAAGAAGATCACCCTGGATACTGTGCAGAGAATACTGGAGGGAAGGGTTTGGAGTGGAAGCAAGTGGTCAAGTGAGTAGGTGATAGGACTGTCATGCAGAGGGGAAACTTGGGACAGATCTGGGATGGACTGTAATGGAGAGTCAGCGGACTTGCTGATGAATTGGATACTGATTATAAGAAAAAGAAGAGTCGAGAATAATTGTGAGATTTTTAGGCTAACACAACTGGTGCTATCTACAGAAATGGGGAAAAGAGAAATTATAGTGTGCTTTAAATGCTTTGAGTCACCTATTAGGCATCCAGGTGGAATAGTCAGCTCTTAAGCAGACAGTTTGTACATATGAGACTGGGCTTCTGTGGAGAGTTCTTTGGCTGAGGATTTATTTTTAATTTTATCTTTTTTTATCATCCTCACCCGAGGACATTTTTCCATCTTTTGTTCAGGTAGAGTGGAAGGGAGAGAGAGGAATAGAGAGAGAGAGAGAGAGAGAGAGAGAGAGAGAAACATCGACGTGAAAGGGACACATCCAGTGGTTGCCACCCGCACAACCAACCAGGGCCGGGGACAAACTGCAACCCAGGTACATGCCCTTAGCGGGAACTGAACCTGGGTCTCTATGGACCACAGGCCGATGCTCTAACCACTGAGCAAAACCGGCCAGGGCCCTTTGGCTGAGGATTTAAATTGAGAGCTAGTGGTGTGTAGATGGTGTTTGAACCATGTGACCATGTGAGACTACTACCTAGGGAGTGGATCTTGATGGAGAAGTCTGGTGACTGAGTTCTGAACATTTAGAGGTTGAACAGAGTAGAAACTGGCGAATATGACAGGGAAGAGGCCATGGATGTGGGGGGAGAACAAGGACAGTGTAGTATCACCAAAAATAAGATAGCATGGGTTTGAGTTATCATTGTTTGTTTGTTTTAATGAAGATGTTGAATGTTACTGAAAGATTAAGATGAGATTAAGAACAAATTTCCCAGCCTTATAGAGAATTGCTGAAATTGATGAGTGTGGAAGGGCTGGAGGCCCATGAGGCATAGTGGGGAGAGAATGTGCTGTTGTAAGGCTGTTGGATCAATGACAAGAGGACTACTCTACCAAGAGGGTTTTCATTTGGGGTTGGGCAGTGCTGAGAAAAGGGGGTGGTAGCTAGAGAAGCTCTCTGCATGTTCCAGCATGTGTTATCTGATGGGAATGAATGATACAAGATCCAAAGAGAGCCCTGGCCGGTTTGGCTCAGAGGTTAGAGTGTCAGCCTGCGATCCAGAGAGGCCCAGCTTTGGTTCCCGCTAAGGGCACATACCTCGGTTATAGTTTGTCCCCGGCCCTGGTTGGGTCGTGCGGGAGGCAGCCACTCAATGTGTCCCTTTCACGTCGATATTTTTTTTTTCTCTCTCTCTATCCCTTCCACTCTGTCTGAACAAAAAAATGGAAACATATTTTTTATCAGTGAGGATAAAAAAAAAAAAGATCCAAAGAGAAACTTGTATTGCAGATGCCTTTGAAAAGGAGAGGGAGTGGGATCTATAGAATGTGTTAAAATCACCTCCAAAACCATAACCAGACATTAATGTCACTTGTGGAGTTCCAAACCAACATCTCTGGGGTACACTGGGCATCTACAGCGATTAAGAGCTCCCCAGGTTATCCTGATGTGTAGCCAGATTTTAAAACCTCTGACCTAAGAGTAGTAGCACCACATTCACTTTTAGGGGTGCCTTTAAAATTTCTGTGGCGCTGCTGGGTGAGAAGAGACTGTTAAGACTTGAGTTTGACCACTGCCTCCCCAACCCCAGCCCCAAGCCAGGAGCTTCTTAATGTAGCAAGCAACTACTGATTTATATTATACTTTCTAAGTGTAAATTTAACTTTATACTTACTTAAAACATACTAAATGTAAGTTGTACTTTGGGGTATCATATTCTATATGCTCTTTAGGTAACCTGCTTTTTGTAATTAACTGTATCTTACGAATTTTTTCCTTTAATTCTTATTGGCTGCATAAAATTGCAATGTATGGATTTACAAGGATACGATTTAATTCTTCTGTGGAGTACATGTTTCTAATAAAAATGCTCCATGAATATGCTTGCATATAATCTTTTGTACATCTCTACTTACTTCCTTTGCTTTCGTTCCTTGAGAGTGAATAGTTGGATCAGATGCTACATTAATGAGCTTTTTACAATTCATATTTCTGGCAGGGATATCCACTATTGACGGGAGAAGGGAAAAACCTCTCCTTTATCCTCCCCCACCCCATCCCTTTTCCCTAGAGGTAACCAATTTCTTGGATACTTTCCCAAAAGTTTTACCTGCAGAGATGTTCATGCTCAACAAATGAAAACACTTACCAGTTCATTTCTACAAACTTCATTAATCTGTGTATTTCACTAACTCTATTATAGTCATTGGTCTTTATTAGTCAGTTCTGTCTCTTACTGTCCTGAGTTAATAAGATTTCCTTGTGTCACCTGTTAATCTCTCTGCTACAAGGCACTGCCGAACTAGACTGCTTGTGGAGAGGGTCCCATGAACCGCACTTGCGGGGTTTCGGTTTAGCGTTTCTTTGAGTCGAGTTGGGATTTTTGTCCCTTAGTTCTGTCAGCCATTTGCATTTTCCTATGAATTGCCAGTTTCCTCTCCTTTTGCCCATTTTTCTGGTTTGGTTTGGTCTTTCTGTTACTGGTTTCCAAGAGCTCTTCATTTATTAACAAGTGCGCCCCATGTCTTTCGTGTGTCCCAGGTGAAGTCTTGTCTCCCGCTTTCACGTCCTTAAAATTCAATATACATGTTTTTGCCTGTTGGATTTAAAATTTTTAAACAAATGTATGTGGGTTTTCTCCTCCTTTTTCTTCAGCAGTTTTGCATTTGGGAGTCGTTAGCGGGCCTTTCTTCGTGTCCCCTCTTTCTTTGTTTGGGGTCGCACAGCCCCCCCACTCCTTTTCTAGACCCCTCTTTGGGGCCCCTCGCGTGGGCTCAGTTGACGTCAACCTCCGGCCCTGGCGCCAAGCGGTCGCTATGGTAACCGTGTCCTGATTGGCAGGGCTTGGGGGCATGGTGAGGGGGACCCAGGGTGGCGCGCTGCCGCTGATTGGCCGGTGCTGGAGCCCCGCCTCTGCAGAGAGCCTCACAAGGAGTCGCGGGCAGCGGTCCGCTGCAGAAGCCCGGGAGCCGAAGGACCAGGTTGGAGCTGAGGAGCGGATATGTCCACCCTGGGCTGGTGGCGCCACAGGGCGCCGGGGGCCGTGTGGGCGCACTAACCAGTGCGCAGGCTGCACCTCGTTGGCCATCAGGCTTGGGGCTGTGTGCGGTGAGGTGAGTCCGGCCGCCCACCCGTGCCTCCGTGCCCGGTGGGCGCGTCGGTCGCATGTCGCAGGTGCGGTACCCTGGGTGGCCGGGCGGGCGGGGGTCCTCCGAGGGCGGCAGGGGCTGCCGCGCTTGCCGCAATGGCGCCATCTTGCAAGGTCGGCTGCCTGGTGGAGGTGGCCGCGGAGTTGGGGGGTTGCCGCGCCATTTTGCCGGGGTGGAGGTGGGGGACAAGGTTGCAATAGCCGTAGTGGTCGTGCGCAGCTGTCACCGAATGCCCACCAGTTTGGGCGTCCAAGTGGCGGCTGGTCCCTATGGAACATGGGTGGCGAGGTCTCTGGATCCGCCCATTTTCCTGGGCTGGGTCTGGGGGCTGTAGAGCTGGATCCCTTTCCCACGAGGTCCCTGGTTGGTTAGGTCTTTGGGACCGCCCAGCATCCTTGCCGTATTTGGGGGTGGGGCTTGTTTTGCCGCAGTGGCGGTGGGAGGAGCTAAGGGCCACAAGGGGCGGGGGCAAAAGGTGTGGTGTGTATCAGATAGTTTCCCTAGGTGGCATTGCGCTGGGAGAAGCCCCGCCTACCCTGGCGCCGTGATTGATGTGGGCGGGTACAGTTTGCTGCGCAGGCGCTGTCCTGATTGGCTGACTGCAGATTGGGGTGGGGTCAATGGCTGTAGTCACTGCGAAGCACTTAAGGCTACGGTGATCTCAGAATCCCGCCTACCTTGGCGCCATCTTTGATGGGACCGCTGAGTTTTGCCGCGCAGGCGCAGTTATGGCTGGCTGGCTGGCCGGCCGCAGGGGGCGGGTTCAGAGGCTATGGTGGCTTCAGTGGCCCTGTGTTCTTTGCAGTGATTGAAGGCTACGGGGTCCTGCCTATCTCGTACCTTTCTGTTCGTACGAGTGTTTGGCTATGGAGGCTTGCCGTGTCGGTTCTACCCTGACGAGGATGGGGCCTGAACCTGATTTCTGAGGTTGGGCCACGGCTAGTGGCCTGATTTATCGGTGGGGTCCATGTGGTATCTGTTGTAGTCAGGCACTATACCTGGAGTTTGCCGTAGCTGTGGCCGCTGTGGAACTGTCAGTCCGGAGGGACAGGGCTACAGGCTGTCAGTCTTTGGGACTTCAGAGGCTCACTCAATCTCTTTTCATAGTCTTTTCAGGACTGTTTTCAGCCTGGAATGTGTCTGGCTACATTTTTTGGTTGGGGGGGGGGTGCTAGCTGTGGGGTAGCAGTCAAGTGTGTATTGCACAGGCTTTTGGGACTGACAGCCTCGCAGAGCCCCACCCACTCTGGCTATATATGTTGGCCGATAGGTGGCAGCCAAGGCTTATTGCATTGGTGCCATCACAAATGATGGGGGTGGGGGGGCTACGGGGGAGGACCTGAGGGAGGGACTGCTTAGCCCTGCTCTCTCTAACACTATGTTGGCCAACAGGTAGCAGCAGAGACTTATTGCGCAGGCGCCATCTTGAATGACAGCATGGCTCGTTGCAGGGGCTGAGTCCAAGGAAGGGCTACGTGTCTTGAGTGACTGATGGGGGCTGCAGCCCCCTGCCTACTCCAATGCTCTGTGGGCTGACAGGTGGCCACAAAGGCTTACTATGCAGGTGCCTTCTTGAGTGATGGTGGTGTTGCAGGGGGTGAGCCTGAGGGAGTGGATGACATATTTTGAGTGACTGAAGGTGGGGGTACAGACCCCAGCCCATCTTGCGGTGTTTGTTGGCCAATAGATGGTATCTGGGGCTTAACTAGGAAGGCGCCATCTTGCATGACAGTGGACCTGCAGGGGGTAGACCCAAGGGTGGGCTCCCCTGCCCTGAGTGACCGACACGGGGATACACTACCTGTCCAGTCTAGCACTATGTTGCTCGACAGGTGGTAGCTGAGGTTCCCTGCAAGGGCACCATGATGAATGACCGTGGAGCTGCAGGGGCAGGCCCTCAGGAGGGCCTGCGGAGCCTCGCCCACTCCAGGACCACGTTGGCCGAGGCTTACTGCACAGGCGCCATCTTGAATGGGGGGGCGGGGTGCTGGCTGCAGGGGCGGGCCCAGGGGAGGGGCTACCTTATCCTTGAATGATGGATGGGGCTGAAGACCCGCCTCACACTATTGATAAGTTTGTTGGAGGCTACACAGGCTTATGGTACAGGCCCCATCTTGAGTATGGCAGAGCTGCAGGGGGTGGCCCAGAGGTCGCAGCCAAGGCTTACTATACAGGCTTCTTCTTGAGTGACAGTGGGACTGTGGGGAGGGGCTAAGGGTCTTTAGGGCTTAGGTTTCCTGAGGGACCGCCAGCACAGAGCCCACCTTCCCTGCCTCTGCTGGCTGCTGCGCAGGCGCCCATGTGGCCGGTCGGCGCGCTTGCTGCGCAGGCGCCATCTTGGGTGGCCGTGCGACGTGGCTGCAGGCGCCTTGTTTCCCATGAGGGGCGCCAAAGCTGTGTCAGGAAATGTGGGGACCAGGTTCCGCTGTGCAGTTCTGGGGCTCCCTTAGGAGAGAACTGGGGTTCACGATTTAGGAATTTTAATATTAAATTGAGAAAACGGAGGAGGTGGGCTGTGGGTGTAAGACCTGGGGTTGGGGGACTCGGAGAACATTGTAGGCGTCTGGGAAGGAGAAGGCCTGCATCTTGTGGGACAGAGACTGTGGAGCTAAGGATGGCCACCAGGGGGCATGGCGCAGGACGCGAGGAGCGGAGGTGGCTCTCAACAGGTGGGGGCGGGGTTTCCTGCCGAGAGGAGGGAGAGGGGAGAGGGGAGAGGCAGAGGCCACGCGTGCACCGAACCCTTGTGGCGCTGACCCTGCGTCCTCCACAGGACTGCAGATTCCGACGCTGAGTTTAAAAAAAATTTTTTTTCTTTATTGATCTTAGAGAGAAGGGAGGGAGAGGGGGAGAGATGGAAACATGAATGAGAAAAAACATCTATTGGCCGCTTCCTGCAGCCCTCCCCTCCACCACTGGGGATTGAGCCCACAACCTGGGCATGTGCCCTGACAGGGAATCAAACTGGTGACCTCGGGGTGGTCACTCGACCAGTGAGCCACACCGACGGGGTCCAACGCAGAATTTTTTTTTGAAATATGCATATTGCCAGTATCATGTTACTCTCCCCAGGGGCCCCTGATGTCATGTGTGCTCTGAGGCACAGAGGAACTTGAGACATGTAGGGTTTTGCCCTGGCCAGTTTGGCTCAGCGGTTAGAGCATCGGCCTGCGGTCCCGAGACTTGTAGGGTTTCTTCACTGGGAGCATGTTGAGAACCTATAAAATGTTACATGATATTAAGTAATGATACCATTATCTAGTAATAATAGTGATAATACCATTAAGGTCCTAATATAAGCTAGTCTCTTCATATTACTTAAATTTACAGTAGAGTTAAATTTCTGTCCCTGCATTACTGGCTGTTAAATGGCAGAACTAACTGGAGTTTCACCTCACATCTGTAAGTTACCTATGTCATTATTCCATACGGTGTCCATGGAAAACATCAGTAGATACACTGTTTTTTTCAAAATGACATTAGGTTGATCTGTAATAATTTGCCATGAGCTCTGAGATGGAGTTCTCAGAGCCTCTGCTTCTTTCCTGTGAAAAGAGAGCTAGAAAATGCAGAGCACTGGGGTGAGGGTCAACAGAGACAATAAAAGTAAGATGCTGCCCGGCTGGTGTGTCTCAGTAGTTGAGCGTCGACCCATGCACCAAGAGGTCGCCGATTCAATTCCCCATGGGGCACATGCCCAGGTTGTGGGCTCCATCCCTAGTGGGGGGCATGCAGGAGGCAGCCAATGGATGTCCTTTCTCATTGATGTTTCTGTCTCTCTCTCCTCCCTTCCTGTCTAAAGATCAATAAAGAAAAAAAAGTAAGGTGCTGCCCTGGCCGGTTTGGCTCTGCGTTTAGAGCGTTGGCCTGTGGTCTGGAGAGACCTGGGTTTGGTTCCCGCTAAGGGCACGTACCTCGGTTGCAGTTTGTCCCTGGCCCTGATTGGGTCATGTGGGTGGCAACCACTCGATGTATCCCTTTCACGTTGATGTTTCTCTCTCTCTCTCTCTCTCCCCCTCCCACTCTGTCTGAGCAAAAAATGGGAAAATGTCCTTGGGTGAGGATTAAAAAAAACCCAAAAAAGTAAGGTGCTGAGTGCTATACCTGGCATTTAATTAACAGTTAATAATAGAGCTGCCTTAGCCATTTTTCCCCTCCAATTTTTAACCTGCAACATCTGACCCTTGGCTTTAGAGAGTGGCCATTGCCACATAGCCAGTAAGTGGGAAATAAGGTTCTTAAATTGGTGTCATCAAAAGCCTTGTGTCTTTATTATTTTGCTTTGCTTGTTATAGAAGGTTCTAAGATTCTTGGGATTGACTTGTGCACCCATTAATATAACCTCATTGGGAAAGGCTACGATTATAGCCCAGGGTACAATGTGCGCCTCAGAGAGCAGTGCCCACGTGGCCCCCTGCTGTCCTGGGAGGGAAAGCTGCTCTTTCTGATCTCGCTGATGTGGGAACATTTCCAGCCTTTGGAATTGGGTGTAATTGCAAAGTAAGTGTAGTGTCTCATGTTTCCCTTTTCTTCCCCAGCTCTGCCTTCTCGAACTTCTCCCCTTTTCAGAGACGACTGGCAAGAGGAAAAGGGACTAGATCCAAACACTAGGTGGCTGAGTCCAGGTGAGCTGAATTCCCTTCTCACAGTTTCACACCCATCCTTGGAGTGAGCACATCCTTCCTCATCCTGGCACATGTGTTCCATCCCTGTGGCCGTGGCACTGTTTGTGCTCTGAGAATGTGCAGACTCTTTTGGTAGATCGTGTGTTCATCAGACATTCTCCTTGGCCTCATGCCATCCTTTTTGGCATCCTAACTCTTTTCCCAACACTCAGCTACTACTACTACAGACCTACTCTTTCTCTCTTACTGGGTATTTGAAGAAGCATGAGAGATTAATTATTCATCTATTAAACATGGCCCAAACTGGGAAAGGAAGTGCTTCTCTGGAGCTTCTAGTGTATTGAGTAATGAAAGACATTGAAAAAATAATCGTGTGCCCTGGCCGGTTTGGCTCAGCGGTTAGAGCGTCGGCCTGTGGTCCAGAGAGACCTGGGTTCGGTTCCCGCTAAGGGCGCGTACCTTGGTTGCAGTTTGTCCCGGGCCCTGGTTGGTCATGCAGGTGGCAGCCACTTGATGTGTCCCTTTCACATCTATGTTTCTCTCTCTCTCTCTCTCTTTCTTTCTTTCCCTCCCACTCTACCTGAACAAAAAATGGAAATTGTCCTCGGGAGAGGATTATATATATATATATATATATGTATAAAAGAAAAAAATAATTGTGTGACTCATGCCTTCAAAGAGCACATTCACTACAGGCAGTTACCTTAATCTGGAAGAGGTAGTATAGGGTTTCCCCGAGAAAGCCAGGGACATTAAAGTTGAGCCCTAAGGGCTAGTGGATGGTAATGTGTCTTGGGAAGAGGAGTGTTAAGGAAAGGGGACATGGACCTTCCTAAGGGATCCAGAGAGGAGCCTAAAATTCAGGATGCCCAGAGCAAAGGAAAGAATAGGTCGGCATTTGATTGAGGTGGGAAAAGGTCAGTTGGGACTGCATTGTGAAAAGCCTTACAGTCAGTGGTAAGTACTCGGGCTTGATCTGAAGCACAGTGGGAAGCCACTGAGACATTTTAACCATGGAAATAACATGATAATCAGATTTTTGTTTTTAAAATGTTCTCTGGTTGCAGGATTCATAAGGGGAAGATAGAAACAGTGGGTGCAGGGAGACCCCACTGAGGTCTGGGTGAGAGATGGTGGCTTGGATTAAGATCACGGCAGTGGGTAAGTGAAGCGGGTGGATTTGAGAGAGGTACCGAGGAGAGAGAGACTCAGTAGGGTTGTACTCTTTGTTCATAGCTTGCTGACCAATTGAGACCAGACTTAGTGAATCATGTTAGTTAACCTGGGGAAATGAGTGAAATAGCTTCATTCTACCAGCAAGTGCTGATACTACGCCTGACCTGGAACAGGATTATGCTAGACTTTGGGTCTCCAGAAGTGAGGGACATAATCCCTGGCCTCAGTGTCTATTGAATGAAAACTGTAGTTAGATGTAGAGTAAGAAAGCATGCTTGCCAAGGTAGGTGGCTATGGTGATGGTGTATTACCACTTGGGGAAGGGCTGACATGGTGTTTGAATTGGGCCCCTGGGGATGGGATGGTTTATTCCAGGCCTCAGTGAATGGTCCAAGTGTCCAGTGCCCAGTACTCAACCCTTTGGAGATTCAGAAACCTTACCTTGCCTAAGGACTTATCTTATGTTGGTAGATCCCCATTAATGAAGCTCAGGGGATTTACAGAAGCCATACTGACATATTAGTTTATGTGGAAAAACAGCTTGCTCAATGTTGGTTTATTGATTTATGGTGGGAGATCACTATAGCAGAGACGAAGATACTCCAAAGTGTATGATCAACAGATTCTCTCCCTGTAGGCACACCTACATGGGAAATGAAACCATAATAAGAAGGTTGGTTGGTGAGTATGGAATCAGAACAAGAGCACGTGGACAAACTTTAATAGCACTGGCCTGCAAGGTAGCAGTGCCACCATCTGGATGCAGTAAACCTCTTACTAGGGTTATCATGATACCAGAAGCCCCCTGCCTCCAGCCCCTCCCATCCCCAATCCATCCAAATTAGGTCTGATTGGGGAAACGCCTCCAGAGTGAACAACGATGAGGACGCTTTGCTGCAGTGTGGTAAGTGCTATGCTTAAGTGGTAGAGGTGAGCCCAGGGTGAGGTGGCGGTGATCTGAGAGGAGCTGCCTCACAAAACAGAGGGTCGAGGCCCCAACAGCCCGTTTTGTCCATGTGTACCTGTTACAGTTTATCGGACCAGACTGGACACCTAAGCCTAGAGCAGTACATACAGCTTCTGTGCTTATTGGAATGCCTCTTTCCTGGGGAACCACAGACCTCCTCCATTGTCACACCTGGAAAGGCAGGTGCAGTTTTCCTAAGTGTCCAAGTCATCCCCAAGTGTGAGAGCCACTGCCCTGGATGGAGTGTGGCTGTGTGCACTCGAGGAGCGGGGCGAACAGAGGCACAGACAGATCAGCTCAGCAATGTGGAGTCTTAACCTGGGATGTGAGGCAGGACTGAGCTGGGCAGTGTCTCCTCCACACGCATGCCAGAATAGAGAATGTCGGTCTGCAGAAAGGCAGGAGAATGGCGAAAACCCTGAGGGAGGAGAGACCTCCCACCACGCTGTCTCTGAGAAACGAAGACAGTAACTGCCTGGGTTCCTGACTTTGAAGTTCTCAGTTCCAGCCCCCTTTAATGAGGTAGGTAGAAGGAGTGAGCAGCTGAGTCCAGGTACACCGTGACAAGGGACCAGAGTAAGTAGAAACGGGGCTGTGGGGGATACTGTAAGCTTCTCCTGCCACTGATAGGATGTGGGAGCCGGAGGTCAGTCAAGCAGTGTGGCATGGAGTTTCTTTGTCTCTCCTCTGATGTCCCAGCCACACTTGCAGCCTGTGATATGCGTCCTTTCATTGAGTTCTTAATAGTTCAGTTGGAGGCTTGAGCCATTGACACCCTTGTAACAAGAATGCCTGATGAATTCCATCTTTCTTTGTCTCAGTGACATTAATTGTGAGCCCCATACTTTATAATTTTCCAGTCATTTTTGTGAAATAGAAGCAGAGTGCTATAAAATATTAAAATGGCATAAATACTGCTACACACACCACAGTGGAAACCCGGTTGTCCAGCAGGCAGCACCATTGTCCTGAGGTTTTCAAAGGTCCGGCTCATGTATGACACTCTGCATGCAGTGCTTGCACTGCGACCACACTGCATGCTTTGCTGTCACTGAGGTGGAAGAATAGATAGAAACCCATAGCTTCTGCCCATGGAGAGAGAGACTTCATTACTGGTTCCTATCATTTGTCTCTTCTCTCCCTCCCCTTGGAATTGGTGGCCTCTTAGCCGCTAGAACAGAATTGGACCTGGTTCCTTGTGTCCCCACCCTCGTCCCCTGAATGTGGTCAGACTTTTAAAAATCTTGCCCTTGGCTACTACTGGACTCACACTAAGATTTCTGCTCCAAAGGGAGCAGAGGGGGCGTGGAAGCTTTAGTAACTTGGGGTGTGAGAGCCCACCTCCACGCCAGGAAATGAATGTGATGGGTGTGCCATGTGGCCAGAATTCCGGTTTGAACTGTGAGATGGGACAGCTGTCAGGGAGGTCAGGGTCTGTGTGTGGAGCCCTGTCAGTGGTACACTGGCCTGAGAGGGTGTGTGGACAGTGAGTGGAGGACTTCTGGGAGTGCCCTGGGGTGGCCAAGGGCCAGATGAATTGGTTGACAGTGAGCAGCAGGCCATGTCCTGGGGACCATGCAGGGCAGGGGGTGCTGATGAGCAGTAACAAGCGGAAAGGAAAAGGAAAGACAAATAATTGAACTTCCACATTATATATTCAACATTTTTTTCTGATTGTGAACTTAAAATAACAGTCTAAATCGAAATGCAAAAAGAAATAAAATGGTCTTTTATGAATCTATTTTTTTCTGATTTTCCTCATATTATGAGTAGTCTTTGTAGCAGTTTATATAGACGTTTTTTTCTATTTTACTTTGTACATACTGCCATATGTTTACATACCTCTGTAGTTTTTTAAAAATTAAAAAAAAATTTTTTTTAATTGATTTTCTAGAGAGAGAGAAAGGGAGAGTTAGAAACATCAATGAGAGAAGCATGGATCAGCTGCCTTCTGCATGTCCCCCACTGGGGATTGTCCCTGACCTGGAATCGAACCGGGTCCTCTCAGTTCATGGGATGGCGCTCAGTCCACTGAGCCACACAACCAGGCTGTGTAGTTTAAAAAACATTTTTTTTAAAACACAAATAAGATCATGCCCTATTCATTAACATTTCAGACTCAAGCTACATGAGTGAAGTATGGAAGGTATTAGATAGTGGTTGATTGTGGGGAGGGGGTTCTGTGCCATCTGGAGAGCTCCTATAAAATTCTCATTCTAGTCTCCATGTGGCTGTTCTGAGTGTGTGTGTGTGTATACATTATCTACAAGAATTTGCATAGAAATCCGTCTCCATCTATAGCTTTGTTTTCTAAAACTGCGTTATATTCATTGTGTGGACATCATTTTGTGTGTACATATAAATGGGTATATTTGCAGTAAGAATGCCACATTTGCTTTTTTACTTCATTTAATACATTAACCTTTTTTTCTTTTAGCCTTAATCGTTTCCATTGCAATGAAATAAATTGGTGTATCCATAGACTGAAATGCTGAGAGGCCTTTAGAAAGGAGTAAATCTGTATGTACTTGTATGATAAGATAGCCATTATGAATTACTGGGCTTTAAAAATAAATACACATCATATACACACATGCAGAACTCCTGGTGTGGTCTCATTTTAGTAAAAACAATAGGTTTGTTTCTACATTAAATATTCTGTAACGTTTGAATGTTATACTACCTTTTATGTTTGTAATCAGAAAATAACCTACAAAATTTTTTGGAAACAAAACATAACATTCTATTAAAATTTTTGTTTTTATTCCTTCTTGTTTGATGAAATTTCTGAGTGCACTGATTTATATTCGTGAGAACGAAGTGTTTTCACTCATGGACCTTAGAGGCCTTAACCTGCTAGCGACGTGTAGTTGCTGTACAGAACTTCTTGTATGGAGGCTGGACTCCAGCACTGGTTTTTTGATCTTTCCTAATGGCAAAGGCCTGCTCCAGCCTTGGAAATACATACTTGAATAACTATTCAAAGATCAAAGTGTTGCTTGTCCCCTCTTGTCCTTTATCCTTTAAAGGATAAACTTGCCCTTTATCCTTTAGTCCTAAGAAAGTTCCTAATTTGTATTTAAACAGGTCACACTTTTCTTGATTAAAAACTTGCCTTTATTAGCTAAATTTTCATGTATGTATATGCTTTCACACAAGTCAGTTTCTGGAATTAGGGTGTTTGTCCTAGCCACCCGTATGGTTGTGTTTGAAAGAATACTTTGTTTTCATGTGTTTGGGTCATTTTACAGACCACCCCCCTTGCCCCTGCCACACACACCTAGAATGTCTTGATATTCCCAAATGTTTATTCTTCCAGTAGAACTGTATTCTCAGTTTGTCAAAGGTCCCACCTTTTTATTGGATTTTCATTTGTGTCTAAGTAAATGAATCTGTGTTTATAGTTCCTCAGAATGCTGTACACGTTATGTCATATTTTACACTTAAACTATCTTAGGAATCATCTCATATCCATTTATTCACAATTGCCTTACTATTTTAAAAGGTTTCATAATCATTGGGTGAATGGTACTATATTTTGTCCATTATCAGTTACTTTAATGAATACATTCTCGCACATATATCATCCCGTATCTCTGGGATAGATTCGTAAAAGTAGAATTTATAGAACAGATAGGCACATTTTTTATTTTGATAAGGAGCCAAATTACCCTCCATAAAATTTACATTGCCACAAGCAGGTATATGAGAATGCTTTTTTAAAAAAAAATAGAGACATTGATGTGAGAGAGAAACATTGATCATTTACTTCCTGTATGCATCCCAATTGGGGATCAAACACGCAACCTAGGTTTGTACCCTGATGGGAAATCTAACCTGCAGCCTTTTGTTATACCAGATGACGCTCCAACCAACTAACTGAGCCACCTGGCCAGGGTGAAAGTCTTTCATTTTGTAGTGCTCTTGTTGATCAAGGGCTGTTTTGTTGGCCTGGTCATAAAATCTTGAGCACATTTAACAAAGATCATAATTTGTTTAATCCTGCATTTCTTGAGAAAAGAAATGAGTGATTTTGGCAGTAGAAGTTGGAAATTAACCTTGTGACAAGATAACTTAATAGGTGTTCAAATAGTCATATTAATTAGGAAGTTCTCCACATCTTTTCTGAGATCTGGAAGGTTTTTATAATATAGTAAATACTTTGTGCATGAAAATTTTGTTTCCTCCCTCGATTTTTCTCTACTTCCTGAGTCATGTTTGCCTGTGTATATTTTCTGAGAAAAACTGTTGATTTCCTATCAAACTTTTAAGCCTTTATTTCTTATATATAGTTTTCACCTACTGGTACTTTATGCTTTAAATACATGCTTATTGGGAAGAAAAATTAACATAATAGTGAAGTCTGTGTATAAAGTCAGAGTTCTTAATATCTCCTGATTTTATTGTTAGGTTAGAAGAGCCCTTTTCCTGCTCCTGGATGATAAAAATTAATCTTTTATAAATAAAAGACTTTGACTTTAGATTTAGCATTTTTATATATGCTATGATCTTTTCCCACAAATTAATGATTGGTTAGTATTCCAATTCCTATTTATTGAAATAATTTGTCATAACACTCCTTACTATTTGTAAATGCCATTTTTGTAGACTTACTATATATTCAGCTATGTATATAGTAACCTCATGTTACAATTCTTAAATGAATAAGTCTGTCATTAATTGCAAGTTGTTTTTGTCTTTTTTCTTTGGCTTTGATGGTATAGACAAGACTGTTTGTTATTTGTGTGTTGTCTTTCAACCTTTAGGCATCATACTGTGAAAGAACTTTCTTACCCCGAGATTATATTCAAATATTTCTTGGTAATGGAAGGAATAAAATAATAAAATAATTCTGTGGTCAGATACATTTGTGAAACATTAAACTTTTAATACCCCTTTTTTGGAGAGTCACAATTAATAAGATAATAATTACTGTTCACTGGGTTTACAGTGACTTATGACATATACCTGCTCTCTTAGGAAAGTGTCTGGCAAAAAAAATATATATATATGCCTTAAATTTTATGTTTGGCTTGTTGGCCTTTTGACATACTAATTTGAAAAATACTGATCCAAATGGAATTCTTTCATGTCAACTCAGAGCCATTGTCAAGTTCCCGTTAATATTCTTGGAAATTTTGTTGGATAATACAGATTAATTTGGGGGAAGATTTAGAACTTCAGTGTATTGAATCCATATGTCTCCCATGACTATACTGTTTCTCTAGTTACTGCCTTTCATATTGCAGTATAATTTATAAGTTTATCCACATAGGTGCTATTTTTTTTTTTTCACGAAATATTTTGAAACTTTTACAGTGGAGTTCTTCCCATTTAAACAAAATTGTTATTGTTGATACACATTTAAGGAGTCTATTACAAGTGATTTTCTTATTAGATTAAAAGATCTGTTTCCATTGATTCATAATGTCTTCAGTGGACAGTCTTATTTAAGAGAATGATAGTTTCATACATTTCTTTATGCCTCAGATTTGTTTTTCTTGTAATTACAGAACTCTAGAGTAGTGTTCAGTAATGATAGTGTTAAAACTTATATGTCTGTTTTTATAAGGGAGTTTGGTAGGCAGTTTGTTAGTGCTAATCTTTGCCTTGGGTTTTTGAATTCTGGTTTTACAAAGAAAATTTGAAAGCATTCTGTTTCTTTTCTCTGGTTGGTTTATATGGCATCATTGGCCTTTTCTTGAAGATAATAATATAGAAGACCTCACTGCTAATGATATCTGAGTCTACAGACATTTGGAGAATTAATTCTCTAACACTCTATTTACATTCCTTCTGTGTTTATTTGTCATGTATTTCTGTCTTTAAAATGTCCGCAGGACCCTGGCATTTTGACTCTGTTCCTGTGCAGAGTGGCTTGTTCTGAAGTTCCAGAAAGGACCCTGTTCCCACACAGGTGATTTTTACATAACTGAGCATGCCCTGTTGCCTCTGAGAGGTTGGGCTGATGTCATGTAGTGGACCTGAATTTTCTTGAGTCTGGATGCCACAGGGCAGGAGTGAGCTCTGCGCCCTCTCCTCTCTCCCGTAGCCATACTGGCTTTTGAGGACTCTGCTCTTGCCAGGGGCAATTCCTCTGAGCCAGGTCCCGGGTAAAACTGCTGTCCCTCCAAAGTATTGCACCAGCACTGTAGAACCAGACACTTGCCCTTTGCCCTGCTTTGGAATTCACTCTCCTCTCTGTTGTCACACCTCCTGAAGGAGAGCAAGACAGGTGGGGAATGGGTCAAGTCACCAAGGTTGGTGTTGGAGCTCCCAGGGAGTGACAGTGCGAGGGCAGTTTGCATGGGAGCAGAGTGTAGCCCATCACAGCAAGGGGAGAGCGCGGGACTCTATATTATACTTATTCCCAAGTGCTAAAGTCTGCTTTGAGACTGAATACTTGAAGTACCTTTCCTGCTCTTTAGACATTTAAAAAACCAAATTTTAAACATCTAGCTTTCCTTTTAAAACAAAAGCAGAGAATTTTTGCTTCATAGAAGTAAAGCCAGTAAGTTCATTCAGCCACCTAAACTGATTTTTTTTTCATATATTGCCTACTTAACACAGTTATGGCTGACAGTAATAAAAGGGCTGCCTAATAAAACTTGTATGCAGGTAAAGTGGTGTAAGTGAAGGGAAATGTATGGCCTTAATCAGTTACAGGAGAATGAAAGGATTGAAAATCAGCTCTTACACTGTCTAAAAATTTTGTTGTTGTTGTTAAGGGACAGCCCTGGCCAGTTTGGCTCAGCAGTTGGAGCATTGGCCTGCGGACCAGAGAGTCCCAGGTTTGGTTTCCGCTAGGGGCACGTACCTAAATAAATAAATAAATAAATAAGTAAATAAGTAAATAAATAAATAAATAAGTAAATAAATAAATAAATGTAAAGACAGCTAAGCAAATAAAGGAAATAATTCAGAAGATTATCCAAGTGGAAAATTGGTTCTTTCAAGATAGGTGAGGTAGATCTTTGGAAGACTGACTGAGGCAGAGGCATACACAGCAGCGTGAAGAGGCTTGCTGATCACTTTGTGACATCACCACCTGTAGGGGGTTTCTGTGGACTCACCAGTATTTCGTTTAATTTGCCCCCAGTGTGCAAGGCCCCATTGTAAGACCTACCAGTACTTTCGTACATAGTTGTCCAGGAAGGGGAGGGTAGAAAAGTGGACAGGTAAGGGTGAGTGACACCACAGAATACTTTTTGGAAACAGTGGTACAGAGGTTAAACCAGGATGTTCCTTCTCCCCAGAAACTGCCATGCTTCTGAAGGCCAGGGTCTAAAACCAAGTTTCAAATGGTTTCAAATGTGTGTGTGTGTTATTCTCAGTATGTTCTCTTAGCGTTGGTATCTGGCTTTGTGTCAGGCACTAGAGGATACAGTGATGGAGAAGGTCATCCCTGATCCATTTGTGGGGGTCACAGCTCCTGTGGGGAGGCAGGCAAGTTAACTCCGCATTCAAATATGATTAGTACTTGGAACACCCAGTAGGTGAACTGAGTCCCAGGAAAGATACTCAAGGGAGTGATGTTGGCACAAGTTTGAGGCTGGTTTTGGGGACAGGTGGACCCTCTCGAAGGATGTACACTGCTGAGAGCGGTGTCCTGAGCACACCTGCAAACTCAGATACTGTACAGCTACTCTGACTGACAACTTTCCACGAAGATGGAGCCGTTAATGTGAGCCACTGACACTTGAAGTGTGGCTAGTGTGACCAAGGAGTGGAAGTTTTTATTTTGTCCATTAAAAAAAAAAGTTATATTGATTTTATAGAAAGGAAGGGAGACGGAGACGGAGATGGAGAAGGAAACATCAGTGAGACAGAAATCAATTGGCTGCCTTCTGTATGCCACTCACTGGGGATTGAGTCCACAACCTGGGCATGTACCCTGACCGGGAATCAACTGGTGACCTCTTGGTGTAGGGGACAATGCCCAACCAACTGAGCCACACCGGCCAGGCTATTTTGTCCATTTTTGCCAAGAAAAAACTGACCCCCATTCTTAGTGATGGCTAGCACCTTGCTCACGTCACCTTTGCAGGGCATTAGGTGGTGAGGCCTTTTAGGTATGTTAGCTGATGGGAGCTCCACAGTTCTGAAAGGGAGGTGGGTCTATTGCTCCTTATTTGCATATATGGGGACAGGCTCCAGGATGTTGAGTAAGTTGCCCAGGGTTACAAACCCAGTTAGTAGCAGAGCTAACTCCTTCAGTCTGTGTGGTGCCCAGAGGTCATGCCTGTAACTCGGTGTCCTGTGTCTGTCTGTGTATTGGGGGATTTATGCATCTTCCCCTAACCCCCAGCCTGTTCTCAAAAGTATTGTTGATGCCCCTTGTAGGGCAGCCCCACACTGCTGCCCGATCCTCAACTTCTGGGACATGTGTATATCTCCTTACGATCTGCAGGTCCCTGAATACTGACTGTCACAGGCTGCTGCGTCTTTCCTGTTGACTCATTTTGGTTGCTCCACTGAAAATTTTACTTAGAGAAATGCTGCCTCCAAAGTACTTTTCCGCCAACAAACCCAGGAAGTCTTGGGCCCCAGATCTGTATGAGCTAGACAGTGACTTGTCTCAGGAGCCGGATGCCATCATAGGAGAAGGCGCCACTGACTCTGAATTCTTTCATCAGAGGTTTCGGAATTTCCTCTACGTGGAATTTGTTGGGCCTCGGAAGACCCTGATCAAACTCCGAAACCTCTGCCTCGACTGGTTGCAGCCGGAGACTCACACCAAGGAGGAGATTGTCGAGCTCTTGGTCCTTGAGCAATACCTGACCATCCTCCCAGAAAGGATCAAGCCTTGGGTGCAAGCAAAAAGGCCGCAGACCTGCGAAAAGCTTGTTACTCTGCTGGAAAGTTACAAGGAGATGTATGAGCCAGAAGGTGAGACTGCGGATGATGGAGGCCGAGTGCCCCCCGCGCTTCTGAGCCTCAGCGCTGCTGATGTCTGGGCCAGACCGTTCTCTGCGTGGGAGGGCTGTCCTGTCGTACGGGTTGTGGTGGCACCGCTTCTCTCCACCCACAACCTGCCAGTCAAACCTCTCTCCCCAGCTGTGACAACCAGACGTGTGATGTGGCCAGTGTCCCCTGGGGAACAGAATCACCCCAGTTAAGAACCAGCCACGCCCTGCCCTGAGGTGTGAGGAAAAGGTGACATTCAGGGCAATGGGTTCTATGAGGAGCCTACGTGTACCTTGTGTTCTGGCCCTGGTTCCTTTTTGTAGTACCTTGTGTTCTGGCCCTGGTTCCTTTTTGTAGACCTAAGGGTGTGGTGCCCCAGGAAACTACATGGTTGCGGTTGTTAGAGGTGAGGTAGGAGCCTTCACAGCCATGTTCCCACCCTGGAGTGGTAGCAAGCTGAGACGCAGTGGGCTTAGCACATCCCAGGTTCTCATGGAGGTGGGACTGTGTGGTTGGGGCGGGACAGACCACATCACCACTTGGGGAAACACCAGAGTATGGACAAGAGATGGTCAAGCACTAAGTGGGTGTCTGGTGTCCTCGCAGACAACAGTAGTGACATCCACAGTGAAGACAGCATGAGCCGGAATGGAGCCGAGTCCCCCCCACCACGCTCTGCCTATTTCTACAGTGAGTAACCAGTCAGGTTATGCCGCCCATGGGCATGTTGCCGAACTTCAGCCCGGTTCGCCCATTGCGTGCAGGCGCACGGTGGGCATCAAGACCTCAGTGGGGCAGCACTACCTTCATCAGGGCAGCTGCTGCAATTCAGAGATCTGAGGGGAACATAGATTAATTGGTGACAAAATGAGACCATTTTAGATCAAAGTAAATACTAATATACAGAGCACAACACAATTTATACCTATTTTTTAATGAAGGAAATAGTGACTATTGGAAATTTGCAGTAGGCTGTTTCCATAGCTTTCCCAGGAGGGGCACAATTCATCACCCCTTTGCCTCTAAAGTGATTTAATTTGTTCAAGTTTCCTCAGTGAATTTTTAAAAGGAGTACTGCTTTTGGGGAGGGTGTGTGTTTTGTAAGTAGAATAACGTGTACATTAACAGTGGCTGAGGTAAGCCAGATGGCAAAGGGGCTGATAACCACCCTCCTGGATGTGGACTTGACCGTGGAGGAGCTGGGGAACCAGCAGAAGTATCTGAAGGGGAACCAAGCTTCTAAACTAAGCTTTGGAACTGGCTATAAAGCAGGCCCCACTTAGACGAAGCCTCTGGAAAACTGTCCCAGCTTTAGGGTGATGGGAAGAGCTCAGATCACCTTTGGGTATGTGGAGATTTCGATTTGGGATCTATTTCCTCAAGGCAGGAGCAAGGATGGGGGGGTCCTGTCTGAAGGGGGTGTGCATGTGGAGGGGGGACATGTGTGTCAGAGTGCTGTACTCATTCCTCAATTGTCTGGCTTTCTCAGGAGACCGGGACCGGGACTGGGACCAGGACTGGGATCGTAACCGAGACCGGGATTGGGATCGTGACCGAGACTGGGACTGGGACCGGGACCGGGATCGGGACTGGGATCGGGATCGAGACCGGGACCGGGACCGGGACTGGGACCGAGGCCGAGCCTGGGAACGGGGCCGGGCCTGGGAACGGGGCCGGGCCTGGGAGAGAGCTCGGATGAGGGAGCGGGATCGCAGAGGCAGAAGCAGGGACCTGGGGTTTCGAGAGCGCTGGCCTTACAACAGGATTCCCAGAAGCAGTAAGTCCTGTGATTTGGCCTACTCCCTGATACTCCTGCAGGCTGGCCGGGGCCTTTTTCTTCACAGTGCCTTTCTCTTCCCAGGATTTCCTCACCGGGATCTTTCCCTTCCTGTGATGGAGAAAAATTTTGCGATGGAAAGAGGCCACAGACGTAGAAGCTTTATGATGGATTATGAGCTGCGATCCCAGGTATGCTTCGGTTTTCTCTCTTCCTGGGAAGACCACCTTCATTTCATGGTCTTTCCCTCCCAAGAGGGTGTGCTCATCCACCCCCTATAATCCACCTTGGTCGGGGAGCCCCAGTTACTCCTGAATGAATCCCATGCCTGTCCCCAGAGGGGACAAGTAGCCAGGGTGACTGCTCCCTGTTTTCTGGCTCATCCACACAGAGGAACTCTTTCCCACTCAGCATTTGCGTTATTTGGTAGGTTGGTCATGTCGGCTGCCCCCTAGTGGGCCAGGGAAACAGAGCTATTCTGGAGAACTTTCTGGCCCTCAGCAGGGAGCCAGGGAAGCTGCAAATCCACAGAACAGACTGGCAAGAGAGAACAAAGGCTCTGGAGCTGACCCTAGTTGGGTTTGAAGCCCAGCTCTGCCACCTAGCTAGCTGTGCGGCCTTGAATTGTTAACTAAGCTGGACCTCAGTTCCCTCATCTGTGAAATGGGTGTGGTGATGGCCTCATCAGGGCTGCTGTGAGGAGTGAGTGAGGCTCATGTATAGGTGTGAAGTGCTTAGTGCAGTGCCTGGCACGTGGTGGGCACACGCTCAACACCATGTATGGCAGTCATTGTAAGAGGCAGTGTGCTAGGGAAATTGGTGATGGGAAAAGGACATTGGATTTGAGCTGACCCTTAAGGAGGAAGGATGGTCACTTGTGACGTGGCAGTGTGGATGAGGGCCATAGCATGGACAGCGCTTCAAAAGAAAGGAGCCCAGTCTGCTTAGCTCACATCTCCTATCACATTTCAGCACCTGCTTAGGTTAGGCCCTGGGCAGTATAGGGGTGACCAAGATAGGGTCCGTGCCCTGGAGGCTTTTAGTCTTACAACAATCAGCCGAAATACATCTCCACATAAAGAGTGTCTGTAGTTGCTGATTGGTCAGAGTACACTTAAGGAAAGGGGAAGGTTAACAAGAAATTGGTGTTGATTTGGTTTTGTAAGGAAATGCCTCGAAGGCAGGAACACTTGACAAGGGAAGTGTGGTGAACCCTTGGCCAGCTGGCTGAAGCAGTGGGGGTGAGGAGAGCCCAGCCATTGGGGGAGAACCCAGTTAGAGGCCTTGAAGCAGGAACCAAACATAGGCTAGATGGTCTAGAACACAGAGCCCAGCCATCCTGGAAGTGTGGGTAGGCCTAGGTCCTGGGCCCCTGTAGCCCAGCAAAGTGCTCAGGTCTTTCTCCAGTGCACTGATATCTATTAATGCTTCCTGTGCTGATGTACTTGGTGGAGTCCGATGGTGGAGGGCTTTAAATTCTACCCTGAAAACTCCATAATTTTTCCTCTGTCCTGGAGGTGGACCAGGACCTGCAGGTATGTGTGAGGATGAGTGGCAGGTGGCATCCAGATGTTGATAGCAGAGCCTCTGCAGCACCAATACAGGCGAGGAGGGGTCATAGCAGATGGGCGGAGTCAGAGGTGACCCAAGTCCTCCTGCTTTAATGTGAGTTATGTCCTTGATATCTATCTCAGGGAAATACCTGAGTTTGTAGCATACTTAGTGTGTCATGGACTTTGATTTATTAGTTGGAGAAGTCAAAGTGACCAAAATTTTAGGAATCTACATAAAAATATTAATTGTAGATATTTTCTTAAACTTGATTTTGAAAAAGAAGCCTCCCTAGTACACATGAGCCCCCTGTGAAGGCTGTTCAGTGGTTTCTGAACAGTTTTCTGGGAGCTGGTGACTAAATTTTCAATGATCTGTGGGGAAGTGGGAAATATGAATGTTTTTATTGGGGGGGTGTTAAATGCTTTTATGAAATGAAGTTGATGGGAGCTTGGTAGTTGGATTTTGTCTTGTGTTGCTATCCAAATGCCCGTGTCTCTGTAGTTCAGAAATCTGGGAGCCACTGGTCCTGCTAACTTGGTGCGGTAGAAATAACAGCAGCCGAAGATAGAAACTGCAATTTGGGGGTATACAAAACGGGAAGATCTCATCTTCTTTTAGCATGATGTGTAAATCTTTTAATGGTTCATGTACGTCGGTCTTGTGATGTCAAAATGGTGCTGACGCTGTTCTCCAGACAGCATCCATTAGTGGAAGGGGCTTGATCACAGCTTGTGGAGATCTAGATGCCCTTGTTGGTTATAAATACAGAGTGAATGGCTGCTTTAGGGCTACCCACTTGTGACAGATTAACAAATTTACATCAGGACATTATTTTTCTTTTGTAGGAACATTATCATTTAAAACTTAGTGTACATTTATTTTACTCAGATTAGGCAAGTGGAGATGAGAATATGAAAAATGCCCCTTCCCATTTGCCATTGCCCTTGGGGTTTGTCGACACCAGTGATGGTGACCCTTCTGACTCCCTCAGCCCCCCAGATTCTTGATCTCATTTGTCTTCTCCCCCAAGTTAGGAGCTCTGGTTTCCTCCCTCTCTCACAAATGCATCTTCACTGTAATAAACCAGTGCTGAGACCCGAGGAAGCACTGATTTTGCAAAACCGAGCACAGCAGAGCCCTTGCCTCCAAACTGGCTGGTTGATTGTCTGATCAAATGACGTGGCATAGTTGTACAGGATGGTAATTTTACTGGTTTTGCAATGCCTCCTGAGCTTTCATTGTTTGTTTGTTCTAAAATTCTCAGCCTGAACCTAGAGTTTCACTTTTGAAGCTCTGTTTAGTTTTGGTGGGTTTTACTGTTTAATTACTGGACACTGGCTTATCCTAGTGACCATGCTTATTTTTCTTTCTCAATAGAGATGCACCTAATTGGGCAAACACTTATTTTTGCTGCATTGCCAAAGGACTGTAATGCTCATGCCACCTCCCAGCAATGGAACTATAATAAATGGTCAAAGTATCTTTATGCAGGAGTTTAGAGTAATAATATGTTTTCTTTACATAATTTTTCCTAACATTTAAACCATACATCACATTGCAGAACAGCCTCACCCACAGTACTGCAAGGTGGGCTGCTGCCCTTCTCTCCACTTTACAGATGAACCTGAGGCTCAAAGATTTCTGTTCCCAAGGTTGTACAGCTCAAAAATAGCGCTGTCCCCTTTTAACCCTAGTTTTCTCTGGCTCCAAAACCCCTGCGCTTCTCCTGGCACCATCTCCCTAAAGGCTGTCTCCAGGCCTTGGTGCCATGGACCACCCTCCTCTGAAAGCAGTCATGTTCTAGTGCAGCAATAAGAAAAGTTTCTGGAAGATTCTGCACAGAAGACTCTCCTGAGTAATGCAGGGAATTTACAAATTATTTTTAGGAAAGTATCCATTAAAACAGAAAAGCAGCTGTGAAATGAAGGCACTCACTGCTTAAAGTTATTTGAAACTCCTACACACTTAAAAGAGACCACAGTGTAGCCATGTTGTCCAAAGCATGTATTCGTAAGACAGGGGTGGTGGGGGGCAGGGACTGGGAAGGGAGGCTGAAGTCACACTTCCTCACCAATGTCTGCTAAACACATTTTCTCTCCGTTCCCCACATGTGCCAGGCATAGTTGATACTCAGCCTGTTGAAGCTTTCCCACTAGTCCCCCTCTCTCTGCCCACATCTTACCACTGAAGGTCCCAGCCAAGGCCTTCTACAAAACCTTTGCTCACTAGTCCATCCTACCCCGAACTGTCCCTCTGCTAAGCCCGTTTAGCACTGATTACCTGTACCCCATTTTATTGTCTATTGTTCTCTAATTGTTTCATGAGTCTTTTCTCTCCAACCAAATTATAAGCTGCATGAGGGCAAGGAATATGTGTCATACGTCTTTTGGATCTTCCTCAGAGTATAGCGCCAAGGTAGGTACAAAGTAGGTCCCTAGTAAAACTTGCCTTGGATCACTCAGAACCCCAAATGCTGTGAGCACTTTCTGCATATGTACCTTTGTATGTGTAGCTCCCATGTCACCAGCATTCTTCTCTCTCTGGTGCCCATGGGAACAGACTCTATTGAGAGGTCTGTGTTTGCTGTTTTAGGATACTGTGTCATACCAGGATGTTGTGGACCTCACTGAGGACAGGAGGACTCAGAATGCAGTTCAGGACAACATGGAGAACTACAGAAAGCTGCTTTCGCTGGGTAAGCTGCTGCCTCTAGTTACTGGAGCATTTTGACTCTTATCTTTTCAACTGCAGGACGTTAGAGTCCATGTTAATATATTTGAACTTCAAGGGTAATAAGCCTTGAACAATTTCAAACAGAAGAGTAAATGAAGAGATTTGTGAGTTTTGTTTTTTTTCAATCCTCACCTGGAAATATTTTTTCCACTGATTTTTAGAGTGAGTGGGATGGGGGTTGGAGGTAGAAAGCCAAACATTGATGTGAGAGAGACACATAGATTGGTTGCCTCCCGCACAACCCTGACCAGGGCCAGGGATCAAACCTGCAATCCAGGTATGTGTCCTTGACTGGGAATCGAACCCATGACCCTTTGGTTCATGGGCTGATGCTCTAACCATTGAGCACACTGGCAGAGCAAGAGTTATGTGTTTTTAAGAATCACTCTGACTCTGTGAAAATCATATTGTACAGGGTGGGGGAACAAGGAGACAGCTCTTGCCACAGACTTGATACTTCTACAGAGCGGTGACAGCAGAGATTTTTAAATACACACTTAGAATGGGACTCCGAGTTCCAGTTTGGTCTCTCCTAGAAGACACCTAGGTCGGTCATAGCAGGCAATTGGCTGTGCAGGTCTGGTGCTGTGAAGAGAGCTGTACTGAGAGTGCTGTGTAAGGCAGTACAGCCTGAAAAGCTCTAGTGTGTGCAGAAGAGGTGGGGAAAGAAGAGCCCAGAGGTAGGAAGAAAACCCTGGATGCCAATGATAAAGGATATCAAGGTTTAGGATGTGGCTATGAGAAGATGAAGCTTAAAAAGGATGCACTGAATTTAGGGAAACGTAAAGGTCTCTGTACAAATTTGTAGGTAGAGTCAGGAAGATTGATTAAAATTTAGATTAAAGAAAAACTACAAATAGAAGACACCCAAAGGATTGGATATGGGCTACTTCATATTTAGTGGCTCAGAGAAAGACAGACATCAATTTATGGTGATGAGTCTTGGTCCCCAACTTGAGTATGAGCTGTCGTATTATTGTGAACAGGGGTTCAGCTTGCCGAAGATGATGGCCACTCCCACATGACACAAGGCCATTCAAGGTCAAAGAGAAGTGCCTACCCAAGAACCAGTCGAGGTAAGCACTAGGCAGATTATGCGTAGTGGCCACTTTAATCGATGAGATGGGCACTATATATACATACAGTGAGTCCTCACTTAACGTCCACAGGTTCTGCGACTTTACGTGAAACAACATCTAACGAAACCAGTTTCACCATAGGCTAATTGATATAAACAGATAACTTCCTACGGCATCTCATCAATGTTAAAATGAAACGACATTGAACGAAATGTTACTCGAGGACCTGCTGTACTGATAAACCTTTAACAACTTATATTCACACCACCATCACGGAAGACCTACTGTTACTTTGCATAAGTATAGGAACTAGGAAGTATTTACATTTGGTATTTCATTTCAGGTCTGAAAAATATGCCTGAAGCCAAAAAGTCAACTCATCGCCGGGGAATTTGTGAAGATGAGTCTTCTCATGGGGTGATAATGGAAAAATTCATCAAGGACGGTTCACGAAACCCTAAATCCGCAAGGGCAAGGGAATCTAATGACCGGTCACCGAGATTTCCCAGAAGGCCAGACCATGATTGGAAAGAACTGTCCTTCAACAAGAGGGAGTCAGTGATTCAGGAGAGGGGCTGTGAAGGGAATGCCTTTGCGGGAGGCTTTAATTGTAACTCTAACCTTGTTTCCAAAAAGAGAGTTCTTGAAAGAAAAAGGCGCTATCAATTTGATGCAGATGGGCAGGGTTCCATTCATGATCAGAGAGGCTGTCCCCGGAAGAGACCCTTTGAATGTAGTGAAATGAGAAAAGCCATGGGCGTGAGTAGCCTCGGCTCCCCCTCCGCCGAGTTGCAGCCGCTTGATTTTGGGGCAATGCCTTATGTGTGTGATGAGTGTGGGAGGGCTTTTAGTGTGATCTCTGAGTTTGTCGAACATCAGATCATGCACACTAGAGAGAATCTCTATGAGTATGGTGAATCCTTTATTCATAGTGTGGCCGTCAGTGAAGTTCGGAAAAGTCAGGCTCAAGGGAAAGGCTTTGAATGTAAGGAGTGTGGGGAAACCTTCAGTAAGATTGTCGCTCTTGCCGAACATCAGAAAATTCACACTAGAGAGTATCTCACAGAATGTAATGATGAGGAATATGAGGAGCCCTTCATGCCTAGTCCCACCTTCAGTGAGCTTCAGAAAATATACGGGAAAGATAAATTCTATGAGTGTAAGGTGTGTAAGGAAACCTTCCTTCACAGTTCTGCCCTGATTGAACACCAGAAGAAAACCCATGGAAGAGATGACAAAGATGATGAACATGGGGAAGCCTTTAAACCCAGCCCAACTTTCAGTGAGCTTCAGAAAATGTATGCTAAAGAGAAAATGTACGAGTGTAAGGTGTGTGGGGAGACCTTCCGTCACAGCTCATCTCTGAAAGAACATCAGAAGGTTCACACTAGAGCAAACCTGTTTGAAAACAAGGGTAAAGTGTGTGAGGAAACCTTTATTCCTGGTCAGTCCCTTAAAAAGCGGCAGAAAATTTTCTCAAAGGAGAAGCTCTATGACTTTAAAGATGGTGGGGGTGCCTTTAGGCAAAGCTCAAACCTCAATCAGCATCACAAAGTTCATTCTTGGAAGAACCTCTGTGAAAGCAAGGGGTATGAGAAGTCTGTCATTCACAGTGTGCCATTCACTGAGTCTCGGAAGAGTCATACTATTACAAGACCACCTGAAAATGAAGACGAGAAGGCATTCACCATCAGCTCTAACCCTGATGACAACCAGAATTCTCCCACTAAAGAAAATGTCAGTGAGAGGAAACCAAATGAGAGGTCTGTTATTCATAGCTTAGCATTTGCTGAAGCTCAGAAATATCACAGTGCAATGGGGCCCAATAAACCAAAAGTGATTGCAGAGTCTACCATTCAGAGCTCAAATGTTATTGAACAGAAAGTTCGTGCTGAAGAGATGATCTCTGAAGGAAAGAAGTATGAGAGGTCTGTTATCCATAGCTTAGCCACTTTCAAACTTCCCAAAAGTTGCAGTGAAAATGAATGTAATGAGAAGGGAGAATCCTCCATTTACCTCTCAGATCTCCATGATAAGCAACAAAAAACTCTGGCCAGAGTGAACCCTGATGGAGAGGGCAAGAATAACAACTTCAAGGACTCTGTTATACGCAGTGTATCCCAGACTGGACCTCCAAAAAGTCTTGCTGGAGAGGGAGCCATTGAGTTTAAGAAGGATGGCCAATCATCTGTTTCCAACTCAAATGTTCGTGAATATCAGAAGGCTCGTGCTAAGAAGAAAAACATTGAGCGCAAGAACTGTGAGACCTCAGTAATTCACTCGCTACATTTTGGTGAACCTCAAACATTTCGCCCTAGAGAGAAATTCTATGAATGTTCGGAGTGTGGAGAGTCCTTTTTTCGTAGCTCTGACCTCACTGAGCATCAAAAGATCCATCATAGAAAGAGGCCTTCTGGAAGCAGAAACTATGAACGGTCTGTTATTTGCAGCTTAGCCTTCTCTGACCCTCAGACAAGTTATGCTGAAGAGCCAATGGGGATGACTTGCATTCAGCAGCCAGTGGAAGCGAGTTACTTTGAACAGCTACTGGGGATGACTTGCATTCAGCAGCCAGTGCAGAAGAGTTATGCTGAGCAACCAGTGGGGATGACTTGCATTCAGCAGCCAGTGCAGAAGAGTTACACTGAACAGCCAGTGGGGATGACTTGCATTCAGCAGCCAGTGCAGAAGAGTTATGCTGAACAGCCAGTGGGGATGACTTGCATTCAGCAGCCAGTGCAGATGAGTTATGCTGAACAGCCAGGGGTGATTAGTTATATTGAACAGCCAGTACAGGCAAGTTATGCTGTACAGTCAGCACAGACAAGCTATGCTCAACAGCTGGCGCAGACAGATTACACTCAACAGCCAGTGCAGACCAGTCATGCTGAACAGTCAGTGCAGCAAGAATGTCAGGATTGTGGGCAGTGCTTTGCTACCGTTGAGGACCTTGGTGCACATCAGAAAATCTATACCCAAGAGGAGTTCCATGGAGAGTCTGTTATTCAGGGTGTAGGCCTTGAAGGGCCTGAACAAGAAGAACCTGAGGAGGATGAGGATGACGAGGAGGATGAGGATGAGGATTCTGAGGACTCAATCTATGGATGTAAGGACTGTGGGCTGGGCTTTGCAGATCGCGCAGACCTTAAGGACCATCAGAAAGTTCACGGCAGAGAGTATCTCATTGACACTCGTGAGTACACGCATTCTGTAATTCACACCCATTCCATCAGTGAATATCAGAGAGATAACACTGGAGAGCAGCTCTTTGAATGCCCAGCATGTGGGGAGTCTTTTGTTCATAGCTCATTTCTTTTTGAGCATCAGAAAGTCCACGAGCAAGATCCATATTATGGCCATAGGAGGTATGATGAGCCTTTTATGCAACCTTTCATCTTTAACCCACAGAGGCTTCATGCCCCACCAAAGAATCCTATGAATCCTTCTACAGGGATGTATCTTCAATGCCATGTGTGTGGACAAGACTTCATTCATGGATCTGTCTTTAATGAACATCTGGAACTTCACATGGGAGAGGATTCACTGGAACAGGGCCAGAGAAGTGACAACATTGTCAGTGCAGGCTTAGCCCTCACTGAGTTCCAGAGAAGTCAGGCCGAAGAGAAGCACTATGAATGTGAAACGTGTGGAGAATCCTTCCTCAGTCAGTCAGACCTGAGGGATCACATGAGAATTCATGAGAAGGATGAGCCCTATGATTATGGCGCTTCCTTTGTCCACACCTCATTTCTTACTGAACCCCCCAGACGAGATTCTCCATTCTTTGAGTGCAAGGACTGTGGGAAGTCCTTTATTCACAACACAGTTCTCACTAAACATCAGAAGTTCCATGTTGAAGAGGAAGAAGCAGCAGCCCAGGAAGTTGAAGCCAATGTTCTCGTTCCACGAGAAGTTCTGCGGATCCAGGGGTCAAATGTGGAAGCTGCTGAGCCGGAGGTGGAGGCTGCCGAACCGGAGGTGGAGGCTGCTGAGCCCAATGTGGAGGCTGCTGAGCCCAATGGAGAGGCTGAAGGGCCGGATGGGGAGGCTGCAGAGCCAAATGGGGAGGCCGAGCAGCCCAATGGGGAGGCCGAGCAGCCCAATGGGGATGCTGATGAACCAGATGGTGCAGGGATTGAAGACCCTGAAGAAAGAGCTGAAGAGCCAGAGGGAAAGGCTGAAGAGCCAGAGGGAGACGCTGATGAGCCAGATGGTGCAGGGATCGAAGACCCAGAAGAAGAAGGTGAAGATCAAGAGATTCAGGTTGAAGAACCATATTATGACTGCAGGGAATGTGGAGAAACCTTCACTACCAACTCAGCCTATGGTGAGCACCTGAAGACTCATGCCAGGGTGATAATATTTGAATCTGGAAATGTCTATGGGGAAAGCTCACGCTACACTGAACATGCCAGCACCAGCACCAGCGACAGCGATAGGGCTGATGACAAGTACTTCAAGTGTGATGTCTGTGGGCAACTCTTCGTTGATCGCCTGTCCCTCGCTAGACACCAGAATACCCATACTGGCTGAGAGCACAAGTATAAAGATTGGCAATGCAACCTGACCCTCACAGAGAATTCAAACCAACCCATAATGTAAGAAGGAAACTTAACCTTGGCATGTACACACTGACTTTTAACATCAGACAACTTGGACTGGAAAGGAATTGAGTGAAGTTGGTAGAGGTTCAATTGGTCTTAACTCTTCCCCCATCTTACACCAGTATGTGTGGGTGGGGAAGCCCCAGCACATACCTTACCTTTCATCCATGTAGTCAGATTGAGGGAAAGTCCTAGGAGATTCTGAGACTACAGAAATAGCTCCAACCACCTGTAAATGACATTTCTGTAATCTATATATAATTTCCCTGAGATGTATATAAAATAGCAAATTATAGCAAACAGTAATCATGAATATTTGGATTTAATGATATATAGTTACAGTTTACTGTGCAGAGGTACCTTTATTGGTACGCTTTGATTTTTTTGGAGGAGGAAATGAGCAACAAATTAGAATATATTTGTAAGCATCTTAGGTTCTGTGAAAGATTTATTGTGTATTATTTTAACCCCTTCAGTATCTTTCTGAGTAATTGTGTGTTGTTCCTTACTCTTAAATATTCCTGTAAAGGTGTAGGCGTGAAAGAGAAAATGTCTTTTACTCTGCTGTTTGAAGAGAGAAGTGCTTTGAGCTTCCTTTTCAGCCATCTTGTCTACACCAACACTTTGGAGCCTAATGCTACACAAGCCTTTGCAATGTGTGGATTGACCTTTTCTGACCCAAGTTGATCCGTTGCCATATTGTACCTTGCAGTGATTTTCATGCAAAAATACTACAGGTTTTTTTGTTTGTTTAACCAATTTAACGTGTGTTCAATAGTGAATTCACAAAAGCTGAAGCTTTTCCCTGTAAATCGCACTTCTTTGCCTTTACAAGAGTGGGTTGCAACCATCACTAGATCACGAGAGTGCCTAATGAAGGTTGAGAACCGTAGGGAGAGGCTCTCACATTGTAAATAAGGATGCAGGTGACAACTTCCATCGCTTTTGTGCGCTTCCTGCCTTAAGTGACAAGTAGCAACGTGGCTTCGTTACTATGTGCTGCCACACATTGGTTTGCACCTGGGTGCCCAGGAGCTGGTATTCTTAGAGCTTTCTATTGCTGAACTTAATTCTTGTCTTCACCTGTCTGACCCTCAACCCTATGTCTGACTTGCATTGAAAAAAAAGAAAAGCTTTCTTTACAGTCAACCCAAGCTTAACATGGACTCAGGTTCCCCAGCAGCCTTAATTTGTTTTGTTACCAATCTGTTTTTTTCTCTTTCAGACCTCCTAAGTATTTCTGAGCTCTCTATTCGTGACTTGTTGGTCTGATTGCCTCAGTTGTTCATTCATCACAAATTGACCTCATAGCTTGCGGTTTCCTGTGTCTTGTTCTGTGGACCACCTGTGCTCCTTTTGCTTCCCCTCCCCTCGCGTAATGACTATTGAGACAATTTTTTGGCTTTGAGTTGGCTGGAAACTAGTTTTAAAATTAAAAAAAAGTTTTTTAAGTGGATCTGTAGAAGTGAGCAAAAGCTAAGAGCAGATCATTTGAGAAAGAAAATGACAATATTTCTTGGGGAATGTGCCCAAATCTCACTCTCCTAGATCTGCATGGTTAGGGCTCGAGGAGTGTGTCAGAGCTGCTGGGAATGCCGAAGTCCAGGAAGCTTGTTGGACTGAGGGCATGGAGCACAGATGAGTAAGCCAAAGAAAGGAGCCCTAACAGCAGCAGATCTAGGAGGGTGAGGAAGCAGACAGAAGGAAACATCAGAAATGAATTGGAAGTCCAGGTCAGTGAGAATATGTCCTGGGCAGTTCAGAAGGGGCCATTTTGATGGCACAGTGTAGGTGAAGGCCAGCTGCATCAAAAGGCTGGAGGTTGGAATGGACATCTGGGAAAATGGGAACAGGCACTGCAACCAAGCAGGGCCCTTGAGACTGGAACCATTGCTGATGGTGGGGTGAACTTGGATTCATCACTGTTGGCAGTGTCAGCTGGTAGAACCTTCCCGGAAAGCAGCTTGCCAAATGTCAGGGTGTCCATTCCAACCTTGTATTAGTGAAACATTAGGAACAACTTCAATGCCAAACAATAGAATGATTAAGTGAACGTATCTGTGATTCTTATGCAGCTGTTTAATAATGATAATCATAAAGAGTTATGTAGTAATGTGGAAATATATTTACAGAATATTAAGTGGAAAAAGCAGGACACAGAATTATATTTATACTACAATTATAACTGTTTAAAATGTATGCTTATAGTCAACAGCTGTTGTGTTGTTGTTGTTGTAGGCTTATAGTTGAGCATTATTTTTCTTAAATTCCTTGATGTTCTTTATGGTAGTGTTACTAAAAAGTTTATAGTCATGTCTCCATTGTGAACATAATTTGAACTCATCATCAGACACTTGGAAAATAAAAGTGGAGGAAAGAAACCCCATATTCCCACCCTCCAAAGACAGATACACTCTTTAGTATATTGTTTTCTTATTTCTGTGCACAGGTTTATGATTATAACAGAGTCCAAGTGTGTATTCAAAATTGCTGTTATGTTTGTGGAATTAGGTTGAACACTCTTCATCTTAATGTTTTCAAACACACGTTCCTTACTAATTGTGTGCTAATAACAGTGTATTGCGTGTGTTTCCATATACCCAGAGGAAAAAAATTGGACAGTACAGTAAATTAGAAAAGGAAAAAATATCACCAATATTCCCAACACTCAACAACTGTGAACATCTTAATTTGTTTCCTCCATCTTGTTTCAATGCACAAGCTTGTGATGAGTGTTGAATGTGTATGCATAAAGTCTAAGGTGAGATGAAGTATGGAAAATCATTAAAATAGTGTTGTCGTTGTGGGATTATGGTTAAATATTTTGTCTCAAATTCCTTGAATAACCTTTGGTGTTTTGGTATTAAATCTTATGTATGTATTTTCCCATTACAAATATGATACATACTCATAGCAAGCTTTGGGAAATTCAGTAGAAGAAAAATTCACCCATATTCCCAGCACCTAACAATAGCTCCTATTAACATCTGTCTGTACACCAGTCTGTGATTGTTAGGGTGTTAATGATAAGTATGCATAGGGTCAAAGATGGGAAGAAATGTGGAAAACAATTAAATAGTTGTGTGGTTGTGGGATTACGGTTAAATATTTTGTCTTGGTTTCCTTGAATGATCTTTATCATAGTGTTTTGGTAATCCACCTTTATTACATATATTTCCATTATAAACACAGAATGTGTTCATTATAGAAACTTTGAAGTTGCAGAAATGTAGAAGAGAAACTCACCCATATTTTCATCATCCAAAGACTGTGATTAACATCTTGATATATTTTTTTCATCTTGTTTCTGTGCACAGGTTTTTGGTTTGTTAATATGGTTGTGGTCGTTATATCTATCTGTAATAGTGTCAACAATAAAAATAAAGTTAAAAATAAGACATTTCTCAGTCTCTTCTTTTGTCCATTTTAAGTGTTTGGGATTATTAAATATGGTTTGTTGTTAAAATTATAAAGCTGAAAACTTAGTGCCTTCTTAGGCCTTAAAGTTTGCCTTAAAAATCTTATTTCAGCCCTGGCCGGTTTTCCTCAGTGGTTAGAGCGTTGGCCTGCGGTCCAGAAAGACCCGAGTTTGGTTCCCACTGAGGGCGTGTGCCTCAGTTGCAGTTTGTCTGCAGCCCTGGTTGGTCGTGTGGGTGGCAGCCACTTGGTGTGTCATTTTCACGTCGATGTCTCTCTCTCTTCCTCTCTCCCTCCCACTCTATCTGAACAAAAAGTGGGAAGGTGTCCTTGGGTGAGGATAAAAAACAAACAACAAAAAAAGGTATGGCGGTATCTAGGCTTGGAAAGATTGACAAAACTCTGAAGCTCCAAACCCATTGAGATAACTCATTTCACCACTTTTCTCACACACCAGAGAAAGTTGTGGGGCGGGGGTGTGTGCTACTGGTTGAAATGCTTTCTGATCTCTGTGGTAATGGCAGGGCAGGGCAGGACTCAAGTATTGAAAAGGGTACAATTCTTATAGGCAGCATGATTGGTATTATTAGATTCTGGAGGGAGTTCTGACACAGATTCCTGGGTGTGATGACCCCCCCCCCCCCGATGATTTATATAACAAAATTAAGTGAAAGTCTAGGTTGGAAAGAGGTGGCCTAGGACCACAGCACTAGAATCACAACCTCCTTGAATCAGTAGGTAAACAGACCGCTTAGAGTCCAGGGGCCCTTGAGGAAGGGCCCAGCCATATATGACACTTCTGCCTCCCCCCTCGCCTTCTGTAATGTGGCCTGCGGCCTTTTTCATGGATAATCCACTTACTGATAAATAAACTTTTTCCCCTGGCTGGGTAGCTCAGTTGGTTAGTGTGTAGACCAGCTATGCCAAGATTTCAGGTTTGATCTCTGGTCAGGGCACATATAGAAGCAACCAATAAATGCATAAATAAGTGGAACAACAAATCAATCTCTCCCTCTTTCTAAAAATCAATAAAAGCATATCCTCTGGTGAGGGTTAAAAAAGAGAAATGTAAACAAGAATTACCTTGAGATACTGTTTCTCTCAACCCTTGCTTTAGAAAACTAAAAAAAAAAAAGCATAACAGTGGGAGCGCAGGCACACTCGCACAGGCTGGTAGGGGCCCAAGATGCAGCAGTCTGTGGAAGGCAATATGGAAATCTCTATTATAACGACGCATGCATGTGCTCTTTGCCTCAGCAATTCCCTATATGCACACACCAGCAGAATTGCTAAAGGTCAAGGTTATGCATTTGGCACTAGTTGTAGTAGCAAAGGACTGAAAATACCTCAGTGGTCCAGCAGTCAGGAACTGGTTAAATAAATTAGATCACAACGATACAACAGAATCAAAATAACTTCAAAAATGGTGAGCAAATGGTCTTTGCAGTGACATGAGAGGCTCTCTGAGATGTACTGGTAAGTAAAAAGAATCGAAGGCACATAATGGTATAGTGTGCCACCTTTTGTATAAAAAAGGGAGGAAATGAGAATATGAGTAAGCAAAGGTAAAATATGTGCATTACATTTGTGCAAATATATAATATATAATAGTGAATATGTATTACAATATATGTATTATATAATGACATTACATTATATATCACTGTGTATACATAAATGTATTATAGCTTACATCACATCTTTGTTTTTATATATAAAACATTTTATATTTTAAAATATATTCATGTATGTACATAATATTTATCAATGACAATCACACATGTATGGATATGTGCATGAGTATAATATTCATACATATATCTATATATTGTATGTGCATAAAGGAACTGGGAAAGAACACAAAATAATTACAGAGGTTACCTGTGTGCATATGCAACTAAAACATTTAAATATGGAAAAGCCAAAGGGAATTGGGTAGCATAAAAATGTGGTGGGTGGCGTGCTTGCTCGCGCGCGCGCACACACACACACACACACACACACACACACACACACCGTGAGAGAAAGACTTCTTACTGAATACTGTTTATTTACCTTAAAATTTTAATCCGGAGATCACTTTATATGGTATATAAATGAGGTATATAAATGTCTAATCACTATGCTGTATACCTGAAACATATTACATGCTACTTGTAATTGAAAAATGAATTTAAAAAAATTTTAAACCATTGTATCAACCATTCAAACATTTAAAGCATTGTAAGGCGAGAATCCCTTGGAGCGCCCAGTCCCTCCAGCACAGCCCGTTCCGTGTCCAGCCGCGGCCTTGTGCGCCCTCCAGTGGAACTTGCCGGAAGTGGCCTGCATTTCGAGGCCGGCTCTTCGGTCGTCCCGAAGAGCGCGCGCGCAGATCCGGCACTGCGCATGCGTGCCTGGTTTGGGCGCTAAATCCGAAATCCCGCCACTCAGTCCGGCGAGGGCAGGCGACGGACGAGGTGAGGGCGCGCGGGCGTGTGTGCGGCGCGCGGGCAGCGCGGGACCGGGACGTGGCCGGAAGGGGGACGAGGGGCGAGCTTGAGGCCAGGCCGGGATACCCTCAGGGCGCGGAAAGCCCAGGGCGGCGCGGCGCGGAGGGGGCCTCCCCGAGGAGACGCGTGGCGGGCAGGGCGCCAACGCGGGAGACTCGGGGGATGAGGAACAGCGAGGAGGGAGGGTCACGCACCGGCGCAGGGGCTTCCCCGGGTCGGATGAGGGAGCTGAGGAAACTCGGGAACTGAGGGGACAGGGTGCGCAGGGGTGATCTCCTCCCTCTGGCCCTTTCTGCCCCCTCAGGCACGACTCCTCGTGCTCCCAGTCTGGAGGCTCATGTACACCTGCTCCACCCGGGGCCCAGACCCCACCCGGACCCTCCAGTGCCAGCCCTGCTCTCTGTTCTCTGCCCTGTCACCTCCTTGCTCCAAGCCCCGCCCCTCCTCATCCCCGCCCTCTTACCTCAGCCCCAGCCCTGCTCTCTGTTCTCTGCCCTGTCACCTCCTTGCTCCAAGCCCCGCCTCTCCTCCAGCCCCGCCCTCTTACCTCAGCCCCAGCCCTGCTCTCTGTTCTCTGCCCTGTCACCTCCTTGCTCCAAGCCCCGCCCCTCCTCAGTCCCGCCCTCTTCCCTCAGCCCCAGCCCTGCTCTCTGTTCTCTGCCCTGTCACCTCCTTGCTCCAAGCCCCGCCCCTCCTCCAGCCCCGCCCTCTTCCCTCAGCCCCAGCCCTGCTCTCTGTTCTCTGCCCTGTCACCTCCTTGCTCCAAGCCCCGCCCCTCCTCATCCCCGCCCTCTTACCTCAGCCCCAGCCCTGCTCTCTGTTCTCTGCCCTGTCACCTCCTTGCTCCAAGCCCCGCCCCTCCTCCAGCCCCGCCCTCTTACCTCAGCCCCAGCCCGCTCTCTGTTCTCTGCCCTGTCACCTCCTTGCTCCAAGCCCCGCCCTCCTCAGCCCCGCCCTCTTCCCTCAGCCCCAGCCCTGCTCTCTGGTTCTCTGCCCTGTCACCTCCTCTGCTCCAGCCCCGCCCCTCCTCCAGCCCCGCCCTCTTCCTCAGCCCCAGCCTGCTCTCTGTTCTCTGCCCTGTCACCTCCTTGCTCCAAGCCCCGCCCCTCCTCCAGCCCCGCCCTCTTCCCTCAGCCCCAGCCCTGCTCTCTGTTCTCTGCCCTGTCACCTCCTTGCTCCAAGCCCCGCCCCTCCTCCAGCCCCGCCCTCTTACCTCAGCCCCAGCCCTGCTCTCTGTTCTCTGCCCTGTCACCTCCTTGCTCCAAGCCCCGCCCCTCCTCATCCCCGCCCTCTTACCTCAGCCCCAGCCCTGCTCTCTGTTCTCTGCCCTGTCACCTCCTTGCTCCAAGCCCCGTCCCTCCTCCAGCCCCGCCCTCTTCCCTCAGCCCCAGCCCTGCTCTCTGTTCTCTGCCCTGTCACCTCCTTGCTCCAAGCCCCGCCCCTCCTCCAGCCCCGCCCTTTTCCCTCAGCCCCAGCCCTGCTCTCTGGTCTCTGCTGTCACCAGATCTGTTCCAAGCCCCGCCCCCTCGCCCCGCCCCACCCCTTCTACCTCAGCCCCACCCCTGCTGTTCTCCGCCCTGTCACCTCCTTGCTCCAAGCCCCGCCCCTTTCCCTACCCAACCCTCTTACCTCAGCCCCACCTCTGCTATCCCTGTTCTCTGCCCTGACTCCTCCTCTGCTCCAGGCCCCGCCCCCTCGTCCCCGCCCCACCCCCTCTACCTCAGCCCCCACCTATGGCTCTCCCTGTTCTCTGCCCTGACTCCTCTCTGCTCCAGGCCCCGCCCCCTCGTCCCGCCCCACCCCCTCTACCTCAGCCCCACCTCTGCTCTCTCTGTTCTCTGCCCTGACTCCTCCTCTGCTCCAGGCCCCGCCCCCTCGTCCCGCCCCACCCCCTCTACCTCAGCCCCACCTCTGCTCTCTCTGTTCTCTGCCCTGACTCCTCCTCTGCTCCAGGCCCGCACCCCCTCTACCTCAGCCCCACCTCTGCTCTCTCTGTTCTCTGCCCTGACTCCTCCTCTGCTCCAGGCCCCGCCCCCTCATCCCACCCCACCCCCTCTACCTCAGCCCCATTCCTGCTCTCTGTTCTCTGCTCTGTCCCCGCCTCTGCTCTAGGCTTCGCCCCCTCGTCCCGCCCCACCCCCTCTACCTCAGCTCCACCCCTGCTCTCTGTTCTCTGCCCTGTCACCTCCTTGCTCCAAGCCCCGCCCCCTCATCCCGCCCCACCCTCTTACCTCAGCCCCAGCCCTGTTCTCTGTTCTCTGCTGTCACCGCCTCTGTTCCAGGCCCCGCCCCCTCGTCCCGCCCCACCCCCTCTACCTCAGCCCCATCCCTGCTCTCTGTTCTCGCTCTGTCCCCGCCTCTGCTCCAGGCCCCGCCCCCTCGTCATGCCCCACCCCTTCTACCTCAGCCCCACCCCTGCTGTTCTCTGCCCTGTCACCTCCTTGCTCCAAGCCCCGCCCCTTTCCCTACCCAACCCTCTTACCTCAGCCCCACCTCTGCTCTCTCTGTTCTCTGCCCTGACTCCTCCTCTGCTCCAGGCCCCGCCCCCTCATCCCACCCCACCCCCTCTACCTCAGCCTCACCCCTGCTCTCTGTGTTCTCTGCTCTGTCACCTCCTCTAGGCTCTGCCCCCTCATCCGCTCCACCTCCTCTACCTCAATTCCACCCCTGTTTTTTCTGTTTTCTGCCCTGTCCCATCCTCTGCCCTCAACCCCGCCTACTTATTCCACTCCTCTCCTTCTACCTCAGCCCCACCCCTGCTCTCTGTGGTCTTACCCCTGTTCTGGCCCCACCTCTTCTCTTCCAGCACTGCCCCTTCTTCTCTTTTAAAAACTTATTACCTATTTTACAGATTTCTAAAATTTATTTTTCAACTATAGTTGATATACAATATTACTTTAGTGTCAGGTGTACAACTGTGACTAGACATTTATATAACTTGATCAACCGATGAGTCTAGCATCCATCTAGTACCTAGGTCCTGTGTTTCCTTCTTCTCCTCATTTGCCCCTCCCTCTTCCACCCTTACCCTCTCAGCTCTGCCTTCTCTACCTAAGTCCCATCCCTCCTCTCTCTGTATCTCTGCCTGGCTCTCTCTCGCTTCTCCTCTCTCAATCCTGTTCCTCCTCCTCTACCCATCCCACCCCTCCTCTCTGCGTCCTTCCCCTCTGTCCTGGCTGTAGACCCCTTTCTTCACCTCAGCTCCACCCCTCCTTTCTTTCTGTCCTTCTCCTCTACCTCAGTCCTGCCCTTCCTGTGTCTCCTCCCCGTGCTGGCCATACCCTTCCTTTTCCAGCCTGATTCCTCTTTTCTGCTCTTCCTGTTTCTCTAGCTCCACTCCTCTGCTCTGTCCCTGCACTCTGTCCTGCGTTGCTTTGCTCCCTTTCTCTTGCTGAAATCCAAAAGATAAAAATTTAAGGGAAACAGGTAGAGTTAAGAATTTATGAAAAAGAGCCGGGCTGGTGTTACTCACTGGTTGAGCATTGACCCATGCACCAAGAGGTCGCCAATTTCGATTCCTAGACAGGGTACATGCCCAGGTTGTGGGCCTGATCCCCAGTGGGAGGCATGCAGGAGGTGGCCAATCGATGTTCTCTGTCATTGATGTTTCTCTCTCATCGGTGTTTCTCTCTTTCTCTCTCTCCCTCTCCCTTTCTCTCTCTCTAACATCAATAAAGAAAAAAATTTTAATTAAAAAAAAGAATTTATGAAAAACAGAAATGGCGGGATGCTGAGAGTGCCCTCAGAAGAGACAGGGCCATGTGCTTCCTTTCAGTACTTGTGGCCTGGAGGGAGGGCTGTTGGCTGTTCAGGGTCATCCTTTGCCTCTCTGGGGCAGGGGAAAGAATTCTGACTCCTTACTCTGGCCTTGGACCTGGCTAGTCTAGGGAGGCAGGTTGACAAGATTTCAGAGTCATTTCCACTGCTTTGTCAGGATTCTTCCCTGGAGGCTACAGTTGTAGAAATTCAATTCAAACCCAGCTGGTGTGACTCACTGGTAGAGTGTCAACCCATGCACCAAGAGATTGCCGGTTCAGTTCCTGGTCAGGGCACATGCCTAGGTTGTGGGCCAAATCCCCGGTGTGGGGCATGCAGGAGGCAGCCAAGTGTTTTCTTTCATCGATGTTCCTCTCTCTCTCTCCCTCTCCCTTCCTCTCTCTCAAATCAATAAAGAAAAAAAAAAAGGAAATTCAATTCAAGAAGGTACCACACATCCCTAGAAAGAAGGGATAGCAAATTTATAATTGGTAGTGGCAGGAACGTTTTTAGGAAAAAAACTAAACTCTTCTCACACCCTACTGTAGACTAGATGCCGGCTAAAGAATTAAAATGAGATGTTTAAATAAAGCAATAAAAATATAATTGAATATTTAATGTGTCTCTGAATGGACAGTGATACACTGTACTTTAAAATATTAAAATTCTACAAAGACTTAGGTGTTGCATGGCTAGATTTTTTTTTTTTAAAGCAAATAGGACAAGGAATATCCTTTATTTATATAGAGCCTTTACCAATCAACATCAAGAACACCCTAGTGGAAAAGAGTAGGAGCAATTTATAATTGGATAATAAAATACAGAAAATCTCAAGACAGCAACAGCAGAGCAGTAAACTAAGCTTGAGGCCTTTCTGAGCCTAGAGTCTGTGTGACTGCACATCAAATGCAAATGAAGCTGGCCCTATTGAACTCCAATGTAGGTATATAATCTTATATTGTAATTAGAAGAGAAAATTGGTGGAAACCTATGGGAATAAAATTTGGCATATGTTTTAAGAAAAATTTAAAACAATAAGTAATAGAAGCAGACTTCGGATATTGAAATTATTAGAAATGGAATACGAAATAAGACTTACTAAGTTTAAAGACTATGAAACTGTATTTGAAAGGATTTTTTTTTTTCAGGAAAAACAGACTACTAAAAAGTATTAGGCTGATTAGAAAAAGAACCAAATAAAACTTCTAGAAATGAAAAATAGAACCATTGAAATTTAAAACATACATAGCTCGAGAAAGAATTAGTGAACTGGAAGGTAAATGAACAAATACAGAATGCAATGTGAAAAGATAAAAATATGGCAAATTATTAAAGAGAAGTACATATGAAGACACATAAGAGAGCATGTATAGCTATGAAAGCTCCAGAAAGTGATAATAGAGAAATAGGAAGAAACAATATTCAGATAGATATTGGCAATGAATAATTAAGAATTAATGAAAGTATCTCTGGCCAGGTGATTCAACTGGTTAGAGTGTTGTCCTGTGCACCAAAAGATTTTGGGTTCGATTCCTGGTCAGGGTACATACCTAGGTTTTGGGTTTGATCCCTGGTTGGGGCACATACAGGAAGCAACCAATCGATGTGTCTCTCTCACATTGATGTTTCTATCTCTCTCTCCTTTCCTCTCTCTCTCTAAAAAAAAAAAAAAAAATGGAAAAACATATTTAAAAAAAGAAGAAGAAAGAAATAGAACATTACCAGCTTTCCAGAAGCCTCTATACTTTCTCTTCCCAGGCATTACAGTCCCAATAGTAACCACTATTCTGACATCTAACACCTTAGATACCTTTTGCCTATTTTTGACCATTATCGTTGAATATGGTCCTCTTTTTTGAGCTTGGTTTCTTTCACTTAACAGCAAGATACATCCATGTTCTCAATTGATTCATGTTCTAGTGCAGGCATATGCCATTCTTTTGTGGCTCTCTCCTCTCAAACACTTACTATTGTCTATTTTTTCATTTTGAGCATTCTGGAGGTATGTAGTAATAGCTCATTGTGGTTTTAATTCATATTTCTCTGATAACTAATGAAATTGAGCCCTGTTTTGTATATTTATTGGCCATGTAGCTATCTTCTTTGTGCAATGCCTATTGCTCAAATCTTATAAACATTTTGCTTTTATTTTGTCTGCTTTTTTCCCTACTGATTTGTATGAGTACTTTATATATTTTGCATATGAATTCAATCCTTTGTAGGATATATGCATGGTAAGAATCTTTCCTCACTCTGTATAATACATAGTCATCTTAAATCATTTATGTTTTGAAATGAAATTCTTCTGTGACTCATCAAATCAATTCAGTTCATTGTGGTTTTGGATTCAAGTCTCTTTTCCCTTCAAGGCCATTTCTGAACTATTTCTAGTCTGTGCCTGTGGATTTTCTAGACTCTGGGAATGGTACTGAGGTAACATGATGTCTGTAGATGTGCAAATCTCTGTGAATATATATTTGTGTGAAATGAGCTAACTCTCTTTGCCTCAGATCACCTCTACCTCACTGTCCAGTCAGAACTATGCAGGCCATTTATAAGTGTCTCTATGTAATTTCTGCAGGTCCTGAGGTTTTTGTATCCTTTCTTCCTCTGATACAACTCTTCCACAAGTGTGCTCTGGAGCAGCCTGCCTTTTCAAGTATCTCCATCCTGCAAAAGACCAAGCTGTAAAGATGCCACACATGGCAAACATTTTGGATAACTTGAGGAATCCTCAGCTCTTTTGTATGCATGACCCAGAATCCATTTCTGTAAGAAACCCAGGGATTCTGAAAATTTCTCATGAAAAGTTTAGGCATTTTCAGTGTCTGTCAGTGACCGGGCCTTACCAAGCTGTCAGCCAAATCCAGGAGCTCTGTTGTCAGTGGCTTCAGCCAGAGACCCACACCAAGGAGCAGATGATGGAGCTACTGGTGCTGGAGCAGTTTCTGAACACCCTGCCAGAGGAGGTTCAGACATGGGTGAGATCAAAACGACCCAAGAACAGCAAGGAGGCAGGAACCCTGGTGGCAAACTTGATCCAAGCATGTAGGGAGCCAGGTGAGAGGAAGGAGGCAACTAGCCATTTCCATTTATTGAACATCTGTATGCCTGACATGTAATGGGAGCTAAATAAAAACGTGTTGAATGAATTTGAAAGGATGAATTTTATAATCCTGTCTATTCTGCCTCGTGCGACATGGAAGAAATTTTTGGGTTTGGATTTTGCTTTTAATATTTATTATTTATCTGAGAGTATCCCTCTCTCCAGCTTTGTCCTCCTTTCCCCACATTTCTTATCCAACCTAAACTTGAGTATCACTACGAACAAAATAACACACCCAGCCCCCACAAAATAGGATATAAAATGTGGGAAACACAAGGCCTAGAAGTTTAATCTCTGCTAAAATTTGACTGGTCTCTTGGAAACTCAAATTGCTAGATTGGAGTGAAGAACATTTCAATAATCAGAAAAGAATGTCATTTACTTCTCAGAGTCCTTTGAATAAAATTGAGAGTCGGGGGGCAGGGGAACAATAAATATTCAAGACCATAGCTGTCTCTGGAGAGAAGGCTGGGGTGTGGACAGGAAAAAGTACATAGGTAGATATAAGTTGATTGGGAATGTTCTCGTTTTGGGGTTGGATAGTGAATTCATAGGCCTTATAGTTAAAAATATAAATGAATAAATTTAAAATAAACACGAGAGTCATGCTCAATGTTGATGTCATATCATGAAATAAAGGATTATGAATAATCCAGTTCTGTGCACTTGCATTCCTTAAAAGAATTTTGAAGATACTGATAATGAACATGTTGAGCACTTCAAGTAATTATATTCTAGGTGTTTATATATAGTAATTTATTTGCTTCCCTTAATATTTCTTGATATAAGTATTACTCTTGTTCTATAGACAAGGAGGCAGAAGCACAAAGAAGTTAAGTAACTTGCCCATGGCCCCAAGTTTAGTTAAGCTGTCAGGATTCCCACAGGCTCCTTTGTATTTTTAATCCCAGTGTTACACTGCCTCTGGAGGATGTAGGGAATATTGTCTCAGAAATTAAAAACTTGGCCAAAGGTACAGAGCTATTGATGGAGCTGAAATTCCAGGAAAAGGAAAGAGAGCTCCCTAGAATATGAGAAAGAAACAGCAGATTAATGCAAGGTGCAGTTTGGAATGACAATGCAGGCAAGAAGGCCTTCAAGGTTCAGGTTTCTGTCAGGACGGTGGTGGCTGTCTTCTAAATCAGTGAATTAAAAAGATGTTGGGAAAGCTTAATAATAAGAGCTGCCACTGTTTTTCATGCCTACTGTGTGCTTTGTGTATGTAATGTTTAATCCTTATAAAAGTCTTTAGAAGTATAAGTATTTACATTTTACAGTTAAGAAACAGGTTCCCTGGTGACTCTGAAATGTATAGTGAAACTGGGAACCACTGATATAGAGGGAACTTTCAACTTTAGTTGGAAGGCAGTGGGGAGCGATGGAAGGGTTTAGAGCTAGGAAGTGACTGGGGAGCTTTTTAAGAACTTGCTATATTGAGCTGAGAAATTCCTATGGTCTTTCTCTTACCATAGGAAGTCCAGGCCTGCTACTAACCACCTGTGGCATGATAGGGTGCTCTGGGAGTAGCAGGCCCTTCTCTCTGTGGGTGCTGTCAGACTGGACTCAATTCCATGGTCATTCCTTTCTCCCTTCTAGGTTCCCCTGCTCAGGACTCTATCCTTGCAGAAGAGAGGAACATCAAAGAACACCAAAAGGAAGAACCAGACACATTTGACAGTTTGCCCTCTGCTGGATCCCAGGTGAGTCAGGCTTTCTTCTGACTTGATTCTTCTGTACAGGGATCTCACCTTCCTGATTTCTGAGCCTTCCCCATCTAATTGAACCACCTCCTCATTTTCTTCAAGTTTTCATGTAAATATCACATAATTGTGCCTTTCCCTGGTGACCCTATGTAAAATTTTCTTCTGACTCTTGTATCCCCCTTTGCCGCTTTATTTTTCTCTGTTGTACTTATCACTATCCCACAGACTATTGTATATTTAACATTTTTTCTCTTTCTACCTCTTTTTAAAATATTAATTTATTGATTGATTTTAGAGAAGGAGAGAGGGAGAGAAACATTGATTTGCTATTCCACTAATTTATGCATTTATTGGTTGATTCTTGTATGTGCCCTGACCGGAAATCAAACCCACAACCTTGGAGTATCAGGATGATGCTCTAACCAACTGAGCTATCCATCCAGGGCCTCTTTCTACCTCTTGAATTATTATATTTTGTTACTTTAGTATTTTATTTTATCTGTAGTGTTGGCCTATTCAAATCAACCCTCGTGATTTTCACTATAATTATGCTCCTTTTTAGATATGAAACAATTGGCAACTACTACAGGGATATGATACTGTTGTGGGGTTTTTTATTTTTCAGAAATGCACTCCTTTTTTTTTAAATCCTCACCTGAGCATATATTGTTTTTTCTATTTATCTGCAGATAGAGTGGGAAGGAGATAGAGGGAAAAAGGGGAAGAGAGAGAGAAACATCGACATGAGAGGGATACATCGACTGGTGGCCTCCCGCATGACCCCAACCAGGGCTGGGGACAACTGCAACCGAGGTACGTGCCCTTGGCTGAAATTGAACCCACGACTCATTGGTTTGCGGGCCGACGCTCAACCACTGAGCCAAATTGGCCAGGGCAAAAGTGCACTCCTTAATGTTCTTGTTCTTGTTCAATGACATTTTGAAATTTCAAAGACAGTTAATGAAATTAACACATTGCTCTTTCTTCAGAACCAGAAATAATTCATGGGGGAGGGGGAGTTGGCCATTAGCAAAAAAATTGTCTAAGAAGGCTCCTTGGTGGGGAAATAAGGAAAAAAAGATAGAGAAATTCTGTTCTAGAAGTTATGTTCCTGAAAGTAGCCCTCTGTTCCTACAGAGTCCATCTCAAGGATTCCAAGTGGAGATGCCCACAGGAACTGCTGAGGTAATGTAAGGAGGGGTTTATAAGTGGGTGGGTTACAAACTGGGGAGTGCCTGCCCCACCTAAGGGCAGCTCTGAGCTGCAGCTGATGTTGCCATGTGAGGAGGTGTGCTCAGGTCTTCTGATTTTTTAAAAAGAGAAGCCAAAACTTCAATTAATATGAAATCTATAAATTTTTTTTGTGTTGGTAGCTAATAATGAATTTTTTAAAAAGATTAAAAAACCCATGTGAGCCAAATAAACCCCTTTATAGGAGATGGGCGGCCAGTGCATCACCTCTAAATATTAGTTTAAATCAGATATTGATGGATTTTTGTAATGTTTCCCTGAAAACACAAATGGTGAATAATAATGAATTGGGTACTATAGTCTTATGTAGTCTTCTAATATCTGACTTTTAAATTCCACCTTAGGTTACCCAGATTGTTGTGTGGAACTGCAGTATTGCTGGAATATTATTCTATTGATGACTATACCAAAATATATTTATATTTTCTACTATAAATGGACCTTTGGGTCATTTCCAGGTTTTGGATGTTACAAATAGCAGTGTTATAAACATATATCTGTCTCTGAGTACACATTAGCAAATATACCTAGGAATTTCTGGGTCCAAAGTGGTTTACCAATTTACATTTCCTTTACCATCTTATAAGAAGTTCTGAGAGGTCCACATTCTAGATAACATTTGGTATTGTCATACTTCTTAATTTTTTATCAGTTGAATGGGTATAAATTGGTACTTTGTCATTTTTATTTGCATTTCCTTGTTTATTAATAAGATTGAATATCTCTTCATATTTATGAGCTCTTTGTGGTTTTTATTTATTTATTTATTTATTTTAATCCTCACCCGAGGACATTTTTCCATTTTTTTGTTCAGATAGAGTGGGAGGGAGAGAGAGGAAGAGAGAGAAAGAGAAAGAGAGAGAGAGAGAAACATCGACATGAAAGGGACACATCGAGTGGTTGCCACCTGCACAACCCAACCAGGGCTAGGGACAAACTGCAACCGAGGTACATGCCTGTAGCGGGAACTGAACCTGGTTCTCTTGGGACTGCAAGTCAACACTCTAATCGCTGAGCCAAACCGGCCAGGGCTAAATTTCTTTATTGATTGATTAGTTTTACAGAGAGAGAGAAAGAAATGTTTATTTTTGTTGTTCCACTTAGTGATGCATTCATTGGTTGATTCTTTTGTTTTTAATACTCACCCGAGGATACTTTTCTATTTTCATTTTTTCAGACAGAGTGAGAGGGATAGAAAGAGAAATATCAATGTGAGAGAGACACATCAATTGGCTGCCTCCCACACAACCTAGACCAGAGCTGGGGACTGAACCACAACCAAGGCACATGCCCTTAACCAGAATCGAACTCACAACTCTTTGGTCCGTGGACTGACGCTCTAACTGCTGAGCCAAACCAGCCAGGGCCATTGGTTGATTCTTTTTTTTTTCTTTATTAATTTTAGAGAGAGGAAGGAAGAGGGGGAGAGAGATAGAAACATCGATGAGAGAGAACATCAGTTGGCTGCCTCCTACAGGCCCCCCCTGGGGATCTGGCCCACAACCTGGGCATGTGCCCTGACCAGGAATCGAACTGGTGACCTCTTGGTGCATGGGTCGACGCTCAACCAGTGAGCCACACTGGCCAGGCCATTGGATGATTCTTGTATGTGCCCTGACTGGGGATCAAATCTGCAGCCTTGGCGTATCACAACAATACTCTAACCTACTGAGCTATCCAGTTGGGGCCTGAGTTTTTTGTATTTTATGGATGAGTCACTGAGGCTTAACCTAACCCACTCACAAAGCTTATAAGAAAGAATCAGAACCAGGATTTCAACCTAGCTCTCTCTGATTCCTGAGGCTGAGGTATTCCTTCAACCCAAATTTGTAGTAACTAGCAGCAGGGACTGTCTCAGAAATGCTCTCCCTTCTTTCAGACTAGAAGAGAGCGGTACATTGCCAGGTCCCTGTAACCTCCGATTAGAACACTTGGATTAGAAGCTTTCTGCTGCTCTGAATGTCAGCTTCATGTTCAGTTGGCTCTCGTCAGGCTCCTTCCCCCAACCTTGGAATCATTTTTGGATTTTGAGCATCTGTTGTTTTAGGAGTTGGTGACTTTCCAGGATGTGTTTGTGGACTTCAGCCCGGAGGAATTAACCTCCCTGAGTGCTGCTCAGAGGAACCTCCACCAGGAGGTGATGCTGGAGAATTACAAGAACCTGGTCTCCTTAGGTAAGTCTGCCTTCTCTGTGGCAATTTATTTCTGCCTGCTAGGGCAGTGGTTCTCAACTCTTCCTTTTTTTGTTATTCTTCACCTGGAGATATTTTTTTTCCATTGAATTTTAGGTAGAGTGGAAGGGAGGGAGGGGAAAAGAGAGAGAGAGGAACGTCAGTGTGAGGGAGACACATCGATTGGTTGCCTTCGACTCGTGCCCAGCTGGGGCCGGGATAGAACCTGCAACCCAGGTACACCCTTGACTGGGAATCGAACTTGCAACCCTTCAATGTGTAGGCCAGTGCTCTAATCACTGAGAAACACTGGCCAGGGCTCTCAACTCTTTTCTGTCCTCCCATGAGTCACAGTGGTTCACTAGGCCAATGAGTGTCAACCCAGATCAGAGACAATATTTTAATATCAAATTCACGGTTACTCATAATATAGCTAACATTTTTTGAGCCGTTAATATGTGTCAGGCATTAGTCTAAGAACTTTATGTGTCTTAACTCCTTTAACCCTTATACGAGTCCTGTGAGGGGGAAGTGTACCTGTTGTTATTATTTTCATTATTGCCATTTTACAGATGAGGAGACTGAATCATGGAAAAGTTAAATTACTTGTGTAAAGCCACACAGCTGCAAAGTGGGAGAGCTGGGATTTGACTCCAGAATGTGCTCCCTTAAACTCTGCTATGTGGTCTCCACACAATAGGAGGCTCACAGTGATGTTTTGTTTGTTTGTTTGTTTTATCCTTACCCGAGGACATTTTTTTCCATTTTTTTGTTCAGATAGAGTGGGAGGGAGAGAGAGAGAGTGAGAGAAACATCGATGTGAAAGGGACACATCTAGTGGCTGCCACCCACACGACCCAACCAGGGCCAGGGACAAACTGCAACCGAGGTACATGCCCTTAGCAGGAACCGGACCTAGGTCTCTCTGGACTGCAGGCCGACGCTCCAACCGCTGAGCCAAACCAGCCAGGGCCACAGTGATGTTTTTTGAATAAGTGAAGGAATTGCCGAAAATTCCAGGAACTCCAAAGGCTTCTGGCCTCGAAGTTTAAGTCAGAGGTTGCCAGTCTCTTTTCTTTTTCCTTTTTAATGCTTTTAGCATGATTTATTTTATTTTATTTTATTAGTTTTTATCCTTTTACACCTTTATTCCCAGATTATCTGTGACCTGTAGCTGAGCCCCAGGGGGAAAACTTTTTTTTTCTCACTATAATAATATATATTTTTTTAATTTATTAAATTTATTTATTTTAGTTTATTTTTTCCATCACCAGTTATCCCCTCTGTGCCCTCTTCAACCTGCACCCTCTCCCGCCAGTCTCTTTTTACATCTAGAGTTGAGGTGGTTTGCCACTCTCCGTAAGCTAAATATTTTTGTTGCCAGTGCCTGGATCCTCTTTTCATTGGCTTTTTGGGGGGCGCCTAAGGTCTCCTGAAAAACATAATCAAATCCAGACACCACTTCGCTGACAGTAGACTGGTGCTCTTATCCTTGTGAGGCCAAAGACCTAGGTGGGAGATAGAAGTGCCTTATCTCAAAACTGGCACCAGAGTGTGTAATTTGTTTTGTTGTTGTTATTATTGTTGATCCTCACCCAAGGATATTTTTCCACTAATTTTTACATAGAGTGGAAGGGAGGGAGGGAGAGAAAGAGAAACATGGATGTGAGAGAGACACATTGATTGGTTGCCTCCTGCATGACTCTGACCACGGTCGGGGATCGAACCTGCAACCTACGTATGTCCCTTGACTAGGGTCCCAAGACCCTTTGGTCCACTGGCCAACACTCTAACCGCTGAACCACACTGGCCAGGGCCAGGGCCAGGGTGTGTAATTTGAACCACGACAATTATTGGTCACAAAGAAGGCACAGTGGAGTGCCTTTCCGCCATAACTCTTCTCTCAGTTACCACATTTATGACTTAAAATAGGCGGAATAAATCAGTGTTGTCTTTGCAGCCCTTATGCAGTGACTTGGAGCCATTTCTGGCTTCTGGTATCACTGACAGCTTGGGGTTAATAGAGATCCTACACATTGTCCAGGACATCGTCTTCCTGAGTGTGGAATGAGTGTAGGGGATTCTGTTGAAGGTTATTTTAAGTGGTACATGGACAGCAAGGAACAATCCTTCAGTCAGCTGGTGAGAAAGAGACTCCTCTTCTAATAGTCTTTCAAGTCTTCTGATTACATCAGGAAGAGTGTTAGTTTGGTCTCTGCATCTTGTTTATCTTCCGTTTTAGCAGAGAGCACAGACATTGAGCCCTGAGTCTTAGGTGACCAAAGCTAGATAGAACTCAGTAATCTTACTTTCTGTTTTATCTATTGTTATGTTAACTTCAGTTTTTGTTTTGTTTTTTTTTATCCTCACCCCGAGGACATTTTTCGATATTTTGTTCAGATAGAGTGGGAGGGAGAGAGAGAGAGAGAAACATCGATGTGAAAGCGACACATCGAGTGGTTACCACCCACACAACACAACCAGGGCCGGGGACAAACTGCAACCGAGGTACGTGCCCTCAGCGGGAACCGAACCCGGGTCTCTCCGGACCGCAGGCCGACGCTCTAACCGCTGAGCCAAACCGGCCAGGGCTAACTTCAGTTTTTGTTTGTTTTTGCAAATGATAGTGGTTTCCATTTATAAGGTCTATGTAAAGTTTCCATTGAAATTAAGTGTATTTAAGTTAAAAGAGATGATTTAAAGAAAAATATTAAATACTAAATACTACTCTAAATGGCACATAGATAGGGCTAAAATGTGAGGGTCATTCATTCGTCAGTGACTCACAATGTGCCAGGTACATTGGTATAGGTAGTGGGGTTATGGGTGTTATAATCTAGTGGGGCGAGACAGACAATAAATAAGTAAATAATATGGTGGTGTCTTAGTTCATTTGGCCTGTAATAACAGAATGCCACAGACTGAGTGACTTCTAAACAACAGAAATTTATTTCTCACACTTCTGGAGGCTGGAAGGTCAAGATCAGGGTGCCAGCACAGTTGGTAAGGGCTGTCTTCCAGGTCACAGACTTCTCATTGTGTCCTCACATGGTGGAAGGGGCTAGGGAGTCTCTGAAGCCTCTTTTATAAGAGCACTGATCTCATTCGTGAAGGTCATAACCCTCATAACATTAGGACCTCCCACAGGCTCCATCTCCTAATGCCACCACATTGGGGATTAGGATTTCAACATAGGAATTTTGGGGCAGATACCAACATTCGTACCATAGCAGGTGGTAATGCAAATGATGGAAGTTTGGGAAACAGATTTTAGTGGGGGGCTGGGTAGGAAGAAGCATTTTAAGACCAAGAGAATGAAAGTTATCACAGGAGGAAAAGAACCCTATGTTGTTCCCTTTTATTTTTTATATATTTTTTTATCCTCACCCGAGGATATTTTTCCATTTTTTGTACAGATAGAGTGGGAGGGAGAGAGAGGAAGGAGAGAGAGAGAGAAACATCGACGTGAAGGGACACATCGAGTGGCTGCCACCCGCACGACCAACCAGGGCCGGGGACAAACTGCAACCGAAGTACGTGCCCTTAGCGGGAACCGAACCCGGGTCTCTCCGGACCGCAGGCCGACGCTCTAACCGCTGAGCCAAACTGGCCAGGGCTGTTGTTCCCTTTTGAGAGCTCCAGCATCAGATCCTTGTGCTGAGTAGGGAGCCCGGCACACTGCCCTCAAGCCCCCTTTTTGGTTTTTACTTTATAGCAGTTTGTTAACTGTGGTACTGTTGCCAATTGAGCCAGGTCACTCTGTGTTGTGGGGCATCCTGTGTACTGCAGGACGTCAAGCAGCATGCCTGGCCTCTACCTACTAGACACCAGTAGCACCCCTTCCTTCCCCTGAAGTTGTGACAACAAAAATGTCTCCAGATATTCCCAAAGGTCTCCTGGGGGCAAACTTTTTAGAAACAGGCTTCATTCTTCATCTGTGTGAATTTGCATCTTCCTTGTTATCACAGAGCCTTTGGAACCCAGGCTAGGAGGTGCTGTGGGTTCAGGGCACAATCTCCAAGTCAGGAGTCTTTTTCTTCAACAGGGCACCAGTTCTCTAAACCCGATATGATCTCACAGCTGGAAGAGTCACGTGCTATGGAGGAAGACAGCACTACAAAGACAGGTCAAGGTGAGCAGGGTGGGATAAGCCTGTGGAGATTGAAATCGTGGGACACCACCACCCATAGTCAGTCTGGTGTGGGGCTGGGAGCTATTCGTCAGGGAGCATTCTTCAAAGCCTACTCAGATCCGGGAGAAGGCTGGTGGGTGCTCTCACCTTGGGCTCAAGAGGAGGCACTACCTCTTGTGTGTTCAGTACTTCCTTTCATCTCATCTCTGAAGCTCATCTCTTCCTACAGTACGAGCCCCGCTCCTGCCCAGCTCTAGGGAGGTCAGTTTTCCTTTTCTCTAGTGCCCCAAAGCCTCCATTCATCCATGCCTTTTCTCTTGGCAGCTAGAAATCATAGGCCTTTCCTCTTTCACTGAGATGAGCAGGAAACCATGGTCGATCCCACATTTCTTTCTAGCTGGCTCCTGCTTTCTCTCATGCCAGCTCCTCAGACTTGTTGACACTCAGAGGCTCCCTCTCCCTTTCCTCCTTAACCCCACAACCTGGTTTCCGTCCCCTACCTCTGCCATGGCGCTCTATCTCCCTCTCACTCACTGTACAACTTCCTCAAAAGGCCCCTACTGACATCATTTTATGGTTCAAGCAGAAGAACTTTTTAGACTTTGCCTTCTCCAAACTCTATGGCTATAGTGTGAGAATGTTTTCCATCTTTATGAAGTCCTCTCCTGTGAATTGGGTCATCGTGGGTGTGCCCAGGATCATGGTTGTCCTTCAGTTGCTGTTCACGGAAAAACCACACCCAAACTGGCGTAATTATTAGCTTCAGTACTGATCACTGGGCTTCAAGGATAGTTGGATTTAGGGGCTCTGTAGTGTTACCAGACATAGTTTCATATCTTTGGCTCTGTGAGTGGTATTATCAGACATAGTTTCATTTTCTCATTTCACTCTCCTAACAAATCCTAGATGTCCCTTTTTTGTTCCTGTCCAAAGAGAGTGTGAGAGAGCGCAGGTATGTCCAGGAAGCATTCTTAATAGCAGGGAAACTTTCTTCCTAGAAGCTGTTGACACATCCTCCTTATTTTTCAGTGTTCCATTTTGGGTCACATCCCATTCCTGAACCTGTAGCTGTGCTCAGTGTGGTGCTAATTCACGCAACCCTCCTGCCTTTTCCTGTGTGGGCAGAGAAGTGGGTGCCCCCCCCAAAATTCAGAGATGACCCAGGGGACTCCTCTACATGCCTTCTGTTCCCTTTATTGTCTTCTCGTCTTTACTTTAATTTGCTCATTCATTCTTTGATTGTTTCACTCATTCCACAGATACTTATTGAGCTTCTGTGGTAGGCCGGGCACTGTCCTAGGTTCTCTAAATACAGTAACAGACAAGACAGACCAAATCCCGTCCATGGTGCTGGTGATTTTAGTGGGGTTGGTAGGTGATAGATAAATAGACAAATCATGGAAGATGAGTGTAAAGCAGCCAGAGTGACATGGGAGGCTACTTAAGATAGCAGTGTCAGGAAAGAACTCACTGAGGAACATTTGAATGAGAGGAAGGGGAACCAGGTAGTAATTTGAGGAATAATGTTGCAGGCAGGGGGAATAGCAAACACAGAGGCTCTGAGGTTGGAATGAGCTTGAGTGTTCCAGAAACAGGAAGAAGAGTGATATGGTCCCTGTGAAGTGGAGGGGATAGGAGATGAGGTCACAGAGATAGATGCGGGCCAGCCCACCTCAGGATGTATTAAGGAATGTGGATTTCGTTCCAAGTTAGATGTGAAAAAGGTATTCAAAGGTTTCAGGCCAGGGAATGAGGACATATTATTGACATCTTAGAACTGTAATGTCTAGTGTGGCAGCCGCTAGCCACAGGTAGCTACTTAAATTTACACTAAGCAGAATTACATAACATTTATCATTTAGTTACAGCAGCCACAAGAGCTCATTAGCTACACGTGGCCGGTAGCTACTGTATTGGACAGCAAAAATATAGACCATTTACATCATCACAGGGCATTCTGTTGGGCAGCTTTGTCCTAGAAAGATTCTTCTGGCTGCTCTATGGAAATGGGCTTTAGAAAGACCAGTGGAGAAACCAGTACGGAGGCTGCTGGAATCTGGCAGGCCAAAGCTGGTGGAGGCTGGAGCGGTGGTCGTCCAGTGCTCAGGATTGTAGTATTCTCTGAAGGGGGACCTGGCAGAACATGCTGAGACATTGATCATACAGCAGCAGGAGGAAACATGAGTCAGTAAGGACTTCAAAGACCATTTCCAAAAATCGCATCTAGTTACCCTCTTCTCCTGATGACCTCCTACTCTGTTTTCTTGCTCTGCTGTTTCATCTGCTCTCTGCTCATACATTTTGAGTGTCTGCTGAGACGTGATCACACTGTACTCATTATTGTCTCTTCTAAGCTACAGTCTTAATACTTGATTTTCTTGGCTTCAGTTTCTTTCCCACCAGGGAGTTGCCTTTATAAAGCACAAACTTTTGACCAACTTCTTACTTCCTCAAAAGGAAACCCAAGCTTTTAGCAAAACATCTCCATCCCTCCCAATATCCACATGATCTGTTCTGTTATTTTTGGTCCCTTTCTTCTGTTTCTGCTATGATGATGTGTCTCTGTGAGTAAAAAGAGTAGAGGAACTTCTACATTTCTTTTAGATTGGAAAAAAGGACCTGAAACCAAAGATCTCACTCCAGAGAAAATCCTGCCTTTAGAGCAATCATCCCTGGGGGCAGGAATGGAGGATTTGGAAGTAGGTAACTTCTGGCATGTAGAACACATGGGTGAGCCTTCTCCAAATGATCCGCTGGATTCATATCAGGTCATCGAGGAGAAACCTCCGAGTCCTGTAACAACGAATGAGCCTAAGACCTTCACTCAGGAAAGAAGCCTCAACAATGATGAATTGGAGAGAAGTTCAATTCTTCCCAAACAATCAGAGGGTCCTTTAGGAGTAGATCCCCAGGAATGTGCTGCTCCTGGGATTTGCACCAGTCCTCAGCCAGTGGTCAGCAAGCCTTTCCTTCAAGAGACCAGAATCAACAGATGTGAATTTTGCACAAAAACCTTTAGCACCCAAGAGGCCCGTAAGAGACATGAGCAGATCCATACTAGGAAGAAACCCTTTAAAGGTAAACAGTATGGAGAAGCCCTCTGTCTCATGCCATGCCTCACTGGACATCAGGGGACTCATTCTGGTGATGAGTCGTCTGGAAAGTCTTCGACCCAGTGTCCAAGTGTCCATGTGAGAATCCACAGTCAGGAGGACTACTACGAATGTGTCCAGTGTGGCAGAGCTTTTATCCAGGACGTGCATCTTTTTCAGCATCTCCAAGCCCACGAGGCAGCAAAAGCCCTTCCACCTGTGTTGCCCCGCACCAAGACATACTTAATTCGCTATCAGCAGAAGCATGACTCTGTTGGACAGAGAGCCCTTCAGTGCTGCGACTGTAGCAGGGCCTTCCGTCAGAGTTCGCATCTCATTTCACACTATCGGATCCATGCTCAGGACAGGCCTTTCCAGTGCCAGCTGTGTGGGAAATGTTTCAGCCGACCCTCACAACTCACTCAGCACTATCAACTCCATTCTCAAGAGAAACCCAGTGAGTGCAATTGCTGTTGAAAAACCTTCAGAGAACATTCCCAACATCTCTGGCTCCATCCTGAGAGACCCTCTGAGTGCTCTGAACGTGATAACACCTTCCACCAGCCCTCATACTTTCTGAACAACTTGAAAATTCATCATTGTGTGGTCAAAAGACAGAACGGTTGCAAGAATGTACAGCAATCTTTTTGCAAAAGGCAGTTCAACACACGCATCAGTAGTCACACAGGCCAAAAATCTCACAAAGTATATTTGTGTTGTACAGGGAAGAAGCTAATAGAGTTCACCCTTCTTTGGAGGTATTCATAGAACAGAGAACCTTGAATTTGACATCCTGACAAAAAAAACACAAAAACTTGTGACCAGCAGTTGGGCCCTAGACAGGCAGTCTATTGCCTGAGTTTTTATAGAATCATTTACATACAACATTTTCACCGTGGATGTATCAGCACAGGGCATGGTAAAAAGATTTTGGAGGTGTACCTGCATGATTCATCCACAATGCTGATGCAATTGGTAACATATTTACACAGTATGTCATCATATAAAAAACACTGCCATATGTATTATTTTATTTGATCTTTTAAGGAATGTTGCAATGTCCCTAGTGAGGATATTTATTCCATTTTACAGATGAAGCAAACTTGAAATGCCCAAGTTATAAATTAATTTGACCTAGATTGTAAGTGATGGAACAGGAACCTGAATCCAGGTGTTTGTTTGTTTTGAGCTTCTATGAGATATTTACTTTATATCTTGATGCTCAAGTCAGGTTTTTTTTTTTTTTTTTTTTTTATTCTTGCCATATCCTCTCTGAAGAAAAGGTACGGTACTATACTGACTACAGCATGTTCCTCATCAGTAGTCCCAGCATTTTTTCACATCGAATCAGATGAGGGCACTTACAGTATCCAGGTCTAAAAGGTTTCTTAGGGTGAAGTGCTGATAGCCATTTATCTCATGATTTAGAACTAGACAGTGACTTTTTGAGACACTAATTCAGGGAAGTATATTTTTGCTAAACATTTTATTGTAGATTGTGAAGCTGTTACTGATCACTTTTTTTTTTTTTTTTGGTAGTTGTCTGTAGTTATTTTTATGAGGGGTCGGGGTTTCTTACTTTCCTTTCCCCTTCTTTTTAAAATTCCCATTTAAAAGCAATATTTTATATTTTGGGGGCTATGGAATCATCGGTATGACCAAACTCACCTAAAATCTAAATCCTGTACTGGGCATACTTCACCCTTTAAAGGTAGGAGCCCTCAGTTGCACTAAAAATCTTTCATAGCATGTTGCTGTAATGTCGAAAGCTTTTCATCATTGACTTGCATGGTGGTCAGATACAAAGACACATGGTAACCACTTGGACCTAGAGTCTCTGACCTGATTCCTTGCCTGGGAGGGTGGATTGTTGCTATTGTTATTCACTGCCCTGCTTTTCCTCCCCCAGCCATTTTTGAAATTGATCTATGCTGGGTGGCTCCAAAGTCATGAAGTTAAGAACAAACATGACTTGTCAGAACCTCCCAGCCCTGGCTGGTTTGGTTCAGCAGTTGGAGCGTCAGCCCTCTAAACAAAGGGTCATGGGTTTGATTCCTGTTCAAGGGCATGTGCCTGGGTTGCAGGTTCATCCTGAGCCCCAATCAACCAATTGATGTGTGTCTTTCACATCGATGTCTCTCTCTCTTTTTCTCCTTCTTTCTTCTCTCTCTCCTTCCTTCTACTCTATCTGCAATATCAATGAAAAAATATCCTTGGGTGAGGATTAACAAAAACAAAAACAAAAAAACTCCCAGCCAGATGAATGATAAAAACAAAACCCCTCTTCTTGCCCTTAGGATGGTTTCTACCTCATCACTGTCTTGTGAAATCTACTTCTTTCCACAGGGTCCAGGTTTACTAAGGCCTTTATTAATCTCTGTCATTTCATTTCTCCCTTCACCAATTTTGCTAAATCTACATTCTACCTGGCTACATTTGCTTTCAATGGCCTTATCTCTAAGTACATCTACTTAAAAAGAAAAAACAATTTTTAAAAATATGTTTTTATTTATTTTTTAGAGAGAGAGAGGAAGGAAGAGAGAGATAGAAACATTGATGTGAGAAAGATACATCGATCGGCTGCCTCCTGCATGTCCCCCACCAGGGATCAAGCCAGCAACCCAGGCATGTGCCCTGACTGGGTATCAAACCAGGACCTCTCAGTCCATGGGACAGTGCTCAGTTCACTGAGCCACACCGGCTGTGTGAAAAAAACATTTTTTGTTGTTGTTAATTCTAACCTGAGGATATTTTTTCCATTTATTTTTAGAGAGAATGGAAGGGATGGGGAAAGGAGGAAAGACAGCAAGAGAGAGAAACATCAGTACGAGAGAGACATAGATTGGCTGCCTCCCGTGCGACCCTGACCAATCAGGGATCAAACCTGCAACCCAGGTATGTACCTTTGACCGGAAATTGAACTCACGACCCTTTGGTGCAAGGGCCAACACTAACCACTAAGCCATGCCAGCCAGGGGAAGAAAATTGTTAAATCATCTTAAAGGTTTTTACCCATACCGTAATCAGACTTCCCTGATCATCACCAAGATGGTTTATTTGCAGTTGGCGTGTTTGAATCCAGATCCAGCCGCCCTCCCTCCTGTCAGTGATGGGTTGCTGATCAGTGACCCTCTGAGAGTTCACTGCACCTGAAGAATCTTTCTCAACACAGCGCTCCAGGCTGACGAGACAAGCTGAGCAAACAAAGGCCTTCACCACACGTGGTATAAATAAAAATTTGGGCAACTTTACCCACATTTGGACATTGATCACTTAAACCAATGAAAAAGTTTGACTATTTGTAGAGCCGAAAAAAGTGATTCTTTGCTTACTAATGTATTATTCCCCCACGTGCTTTTTTTATTTTTTATCCTCACCTGAGGACATTTTTGCATTTATCTTCAGATAGAGTGGGAGGGAGAGGGGGAGGAAGAGAGAGAAATATCCATGTGAGAGAGACTCATCGACTGGTTGCCACCCACACAATCCCAACCAGGGACGGGGACAAACTGCAACCAAGGTACATGCCTTTAGTGGGAACCAAATCCGGGACTCTCTGGTCCGCAGGCTGATGCCCTAACCACTGAGCAAAACCGGCCAGGGTCCCCACATGCTTTTAATGGATGTAATCTAGGCCCTTTGCCTACTTAGCTATGTGCTTTTGTGCTTGTTCTTACTGATTAGCATGAACTCAATTTCGTCTTTTAAAAGTATGTATTTCTGAAGGATTACGATTTATTTTTCAGTTTAAAGTAATACTTGATTCATTGAAGACAATTTTTATTTTACTGAAAGGCAGAAGATCTCTTCCCCTCTCTGCAGCTACCATCCCCAAACAGCACAAACACCATTAACATTTTGGTTTGGTTTTTTTATCATTTAAAAATAATTACCAGAGAGTAGTGGGAAAAGGTCCAGTTTTCATGGGACCTTTGCCTTTTCACCCTTTTACTCATGTAAAAGAGTACCTATTTAGAGGTGTTTAGTTTTCATGTAGCCATGGTCCTTCAGTGTGCAATGATACTGTATCTTATTTTTCCAGCTGACACACTGCTCTATCACCCCCTTGTCTGCAGTTACCATGCCTCATTAACAGATGCAAAGAATACCCAGAGCTTTGTATGTGTGGTGCTCTCTCTCAGTGTTTAAGGTAGTTCTCATTTTTTCCTAACTATAAATGATACTAAATGAACATTTTGGTGCTTAAATAGTTTTCCAAACTTAGGATTATTTCCTTAAGTTAGATCTAGCCAAAGGGGACATTTCTGGGTCAGAAGGGGTATAATTGTTTTGAGGTTCTGGAGATGTACATCCAAGCCCCTTGGAAAACATTACACCAGTTTGCACTGTTGGAATACGTGGCGGTGGGAGTTGTACATATCCTTTCTGCATGGTGTAGTAAAAGCATTGGTCACCTTTGCTAACTGAACAAGGGAAAGGGAATTTCACTAATTATTTATATTTGATTGTTAAGGAAGTTGAACATTTCCCCCTAAGCTTGTTAAACAGTTATATTTTCTCTTCCTATCACTTTGAACACTCTCTTTATATAATAAAGATTGATTTCTTGTCTTCTTTTTGTCCATACATTTTTTCTGTTTGTTTGGCATTTTCTTTCAATTATTTTCTTGACAAGGTTTCAGTTTCTGCATAGCTCAATTGTCTGTTTGCTTTTCCAGGTCTACAGACTCTAACCCTGGTTGGGGCATGTGTGGGAGGCAACCAATTGATGTTTCTCTCTCCCTCCCTTCCTATCTTCCACTGTTTCTTTCTCCCTCTCTCCTTCTCCTTCCCTTCCACTCTCTAAAAAATCAATGGAAAAAATATCCTTGAGTGAGGATAATCTAAAAAAATTTAGAATGAAGCATGGAAGGGAGAAGGTCAACTTTTCTTTTGAAAAGGAACAAGTCCTTTTGAAAAGTGATTGTGGTATTTTGTTAAAGCAGCAACAGGAAACTGATACACTGGGAAACTGTTAAAGAAATGCATATTCTGAGGCTCTACCCCAGACCTACTTAATCAAATACCAGAAGTGGGGCCCACCATCCTCTGTTTTAACAAGCCCTCCAGGGGATTATGTTGAAAGCTCAAGTTTCATAAATACTGGTTTCATGTTAATGTTGAAGGCTCAGGTGCCTACAGGAACCAGGCACTTTGGGCAAATGTGTGAACAGGGTCTGTGGCAGAATTGGAGAGGTGTGCTTGACCTAAAGGCAGGCACACATTTGCCCAAAGTGCATTTCCCTCACAAGCATCTGAGTTTTCAACCCTTCCCTGAAACCAGTGCTCAAACTTTAGTGTGCAATAAAGAAAAAGGAAGCCCTTGCCAGCGTGGCTCAGTGGTGAGAGCATTGGTCTGTGCACCCAAGGGTCATGGGTTCGATTTCTGGTCAAGGGCACATACCTAGGTTGCAGGTTCGATCCTTAGCCCTGGTCGGGCATGTGCAGGAGGCAGCCAGTCAATGTGTCTTCTCTCA